AACCCCTGCCTAGTCATTTGTCACCAGGAAGGCGTGAAGGCAAGGGGTATATTCATCCCGGCGGGCGAGAGAGCTTGAGTCTTAACTGGGACATCCAGGGTGTGTTATTTCCATTTTGGACCTTTTCTTTCATGGCCTGTATTTAGACCTGGGCCAGACTCCGGAAGGGATTCTTCAATGTCAACCAAGGCACATCCTCCAGAATAAATAAAGCCTGGCACCTCTCAATGGTGTGCTTGAAATATTTGAGTCCAGACACTCGAGACACCAGCAGGCCAGTTAGTTCATGAAAAGTGGAAACTTAAAACTCCCCACTAGGGAGCCCGCTTAAGTTACAGCAAATGGAATCGAGAATGCATTTAAAGGTATATTCGCAGACAGGAAGAAAGGCACTGAAATCACCTCATGTTTTTGTTACTGGAACCAAGCGATTGCAACTTTGTGGAAAGTGAGACCAGTTAAGGCTGTAGTTTCCCTTTGGTTACTCATTCTGGAATGCATGTGAATACCCATCCATGCTGAGCTTAGCATATATGCCAAGCTTTGATGACCCAAGGACTTAGCTTTTCAGTTTGAGGGGCATTGTCTTGTTTGGGTTGTGTTTTGTTTTGTGTTTTGTCTTTAAGGGGGAGGCTGTTTGGGTTTTTGTTTTGTTTGAGCCTCACGCCAGCCTTAAATCCTCCTGCCTCTGCCTCCTGGGTTTTGGGGTTACAGGTGTGCACCACCCTTCGAGCTAATGCAAAGATGATTCCATGATGTCAGATGCGTTTTCCATGTCTTCAGAGTCAGTGGCTCCATGGTTTTGAAACGGTATAGGGTCCATTCCTTAGTAGGCGGTATGGTAAGAGTCACCTAAAGTTGTGTCGTAATGCCAATCAGTCTGTGTGATCATTTCAGGAAAGCTTCTGCTGAGTCGACATTTCATGTGTATGCTTATATATATGTGGGCACTCATAGGGTGTGTGTTTGTGTGTGCATGTTTGTGGATGCCAAGGGGTTGACATCAGGTATGTTCCTTGATGGCTCTTAGTTTATTTACTGAGACAGGGCCTCTCACTGAACCTACAGCTTGCTAGTTTGACTGATCTAGCTGGCTCGCTTGCTAGAGGATAGCAGTTCCACCTCCAAAGTGTTGAGATTACAGGTAGACCCCTACACTTGTCCAGCTGTTATATGGATCTTTGGAAGTCCAAACTTGAATCCTCAAGTTTGCATGGCAAGTGTTTTATCTACCCAGACCATTTAGTCTACTTTTCACAGTACCCCTTATAAACGTAATAACGAGTTGTGTACTGACATTTTCAATTTGTGATTTTTTTTTTTTTTTAAGTACACCAAGCCTAAGGAAGTTTTTTTGGGTTTTGTTTTGTTTTGTTTTGTTTTGTTTTCAGCTTCTAAATTCCATGACTCCCCCAAAACCTTGCTGGTTTCTCAGATTCTTCATCTGTATGAGTGACTGTTTTGGATTTACTGTTGCTCTGAAAAGACACCATGACCACAGCAACTCTTACAAAGGAAAACATTTCATATTGACGTGTTGCTTACATTTCAGGGGTTTAGTCCATTATTGTCATGGCGGGAAGCAAGGCAGCGTGCAGGCAGACATGGCTCTTGAGAAGGAGCTGAGAGCTCTTACATCTTGACTCCCAGGCAACAGGAAGTGGTCTGAGACATTGGGCGAGGCTTGAGCATATAAGACCTCAAAGTCCGTCTCCATAGACACAATAAGGCCACACCTTCTCCAACAAGGCCACGCCTCCTGATAGTGCCACCCCCTTTGGGGGCCGTTTTCTCTCAAATCACCACAGAGACCATCACTTGGTCGGTCATCCTTACCATCATCACAGCAGACGCAAAGTAGATACATGCACTCAGGGCCGCAGAAGTCAGTTGGAAGCGGCCAGGGTGACCAGTGTGCCCCGGGGATCATCTTGCAAAGACCACTTAGCATCCTTGCACTTAACAGAGCTCTCTTTGTGGAGCAGGAATAGAAGAGTGGCTCTCTCAGCCTGACGACCAGCCAGCTGAGTCCTTCCAAGCCCTACCCTAGACATAGGTGTTTGCTGGCTATACATCCTCAGACCAGAGGAACATGAACATCAGATGCTCTTTGCTTCCTCTGGGGTTACGTCCAGATAAACTCATCGTAAGGTGAAAGCAGGGTAGAGCGTTAGCAGTTCCTTTCTGTGGACACCATCAAACTGCAGAGTCTTGGCTGCTTCCCCTTGTGGTAATGCTTATACCAGCGCCGCAAGAGGACAGATTACAGGCCCAGGCAAAGATCCATATTCAACATTTCATGTGCAGGTTCTCCTGAGTGCATGCTGCTGTCGCACTACCGTTACACGCAAACCCTGAAGTCAAACACCCACCATGAAAGGACTGTCTGTGAATTCATCCCTGGCCCCAGAAGTGTGAGCCTCTCGGCTCCAACAAGCCACGCACGTGTGGAGAAAAAAATCTTAGTCCTTGGCTCCCCCAGATGTTTTTAAAAATAAAATGGTTATGCCAGTAAAATTGTGATTTTTAGATCAGTTTCCTAATTTAAGGTAGAGACACATGGACTTGCAAGGCTGTCCTGCCAACCTATTTCAGATTAGTGGTTGTATTGTCATCAACGTGGGCTGGTGTGTCTCGCCCTTGAGGAAGAGCGGCGGCGTGGGAAAGTTCAGTGGGCATTTCCCCGGGATGGAAGCCGCCTCTCTTCTCAAAAGACAGCCCTTCACCCTGCTGTGCAGGGAGTCCCACCCACCTCAGCCTTTGCTGAACAGTGAATGCAGTGCAGATTGGAACAAGTAACAGATATTGATCGGGAGCATATTTTATAAAATGAGTCAAGATCATCTTTGTTCATCTTTATTTCCTGGGATCTTCAGCAAATGTCGTCTTAGAGTATGGCACCGAGAGACCCACCTCTGTGGTTGCTGTCTGTTCCCACCATCTTCTTAATGATAAAAGTGCTTCCGGGCTAAGTGTAGCTTTTCTGTCCATGTGTTGTTGTTGTTGTGTGTGCGTGGGTGGGTGTGTGTGTGTGTGTGTGAGAGAGAGAGAGAGAGAGAGAGAGAGAGAGAGCCCCAGTGTTTTAAGGGCCAACCATAAAACTATTACTAGGGATCCTGATGTTCCTATTCAGCTGAATTCAAGCCCACTGAGAGTAGCCCCAACCCTGGGCAATAATTCCAATGATAGTATTTTTCACCATTCAGTCACCTGGAGAGCGAATTTTCATTCACGAGGAAAAGATACGATTTATTCCCTTGAACATGAATTATCTCTTCTGGTCTCCATCTCAAAATCCCAGAGTCCTCCCTCAATGCCAGACCAGTGACGGGATGGGAACTAAAATCTCGGCCGCTGAGACAGACGAGGCATGAACCTGCAGATGTTGTCCGAGGTTGAAGAACTCAGGCAGATAGTACGTGTGCACCTTGACACTGGCAGGAAGAAACGAAAGCCAGTAGGGGTGTTTGTGTTCAAACTCCAGTCTGCCTAACCCTGCCATTCAGAAAGCTGATTTTTATTGCCAAGTTCCTGGGATGATTTCATTCCTTGGTTTTTTTGTTTTTTTGTTTGTTTTTGTTTTTGTTTTTCTTCTTCTTTAAGAGAAGCAGAGATTCCAATGTTTCCCCCCTCCCAGTCCCCACAAAGGGAATTTATGAGAGTTTCCATAGACAGTGCCTCCTGAGATTTAAGGGATGGGTGAGAGGAACCCTTTATTTACCATGCCCGGCCTCCTTGGGCATGGTAAGGGACCCCTCAGTCCTAGGGTGCCCCCGAGCCTCATCCTTCACCTGAGTTCAGTCCTGTAGAAGCCATGGTCACGGTTGAGAAGCGGCAAACAGACTGTTGCCGCCTTGGCACCTCAACACCGACCAGCTTTTTCTGAGTTTGGAGCTTGACCCCAGAGGGGTACATGCATACAGGAATGTCTCGGTTCAGTTACGTAGCCGGCCTGGGAACAGTGGAATAATGTGTGAGAATTGGAATCTTCTTGTTTGACTTTTACACACTCCTTGGTGGATTTGTGATAGCTGGATTTGTTGTGTGTGATGAATTACTATTATGAAAGTAGGGCCCAAATCTTGCTATTGGCGTTGAGCATACAGGGACGGTGTGACTGATTCCAGCACGTGTGTAATTGTCCGGTGAAAGCTGGAGATGCCATTTCTGTAAGCGACTGTTCTGGGGATTTTTTTTTTTAATGTAGAATAATACATAAACTTGTTTGTAAAAGATTGTCAGTTCTTCCCTGAAGATTTCAGAGGCCACTGTTCACACACGTTGCCAGCATCCATAACTACGGCATCAGATTCTGCAATGGAAAGGGAAAAGAAGGATTAAAGCAAGATGTTCACCTTTTTTTTTTTTTTTTTTTTTTTTTTTGGTGTGTGTGTGAGAGAGAGAGACAGAGTTTCTCTGTAAGAGCTGTCCTGGAACTCTCTCTGTAGACCAGGGTGGCCTTGAACTCAGAGATCCACCTATCTCTGTCTCCCGAGTGCTGGGAATGAAGGTGTGCACCGCCACCACCTGGCTAAGCTGTTTAACTTCTGATAGTCCCAGATTGTGTGGACGCTTCCAGCAGACCCTTGTGGCCTTCCTGGCAGCTTCCTTGCCATCAGACATATCCCTCTAGAGCAAAGATAAAGTTATTTTTGACAGTTTGCAAAATATTTTGAGGTTTTAGGGTATTCTTGAACAACATTCTCAGAACAGCAGCAATATTGAAATAAATGCTAGGCTAGCACAACGCCTTCCTCTGAAACAGCCACACATCTAACCAGCGTCCAGTGGCCAAAGGGACTGTTCATCCTCGGTTTATTCCTGGGTCTAATTTTGTCTGGTTTTGGCTGCTGTGGGCCTCGAGGCCCGGTCCTGGTGGACAGATGTGTGTAGCCTGTGCCGCCCCTGGCCTTTGCCAGGATGGGAGTCTACTGGCGCTTCCTGTTTGCTCACTTGTCTTTCTTTCCCTTCCCTTCCTGGGGGGCCTGGTGGACTGGCAGCTCCGCGGTCCAGCAGACCAACTGCAGAGGTTCCCTGCCTTCCAGCAAGGGCAGCGGCAGCAGCAGCGGCAGCAGCAGCAGCAGCAGCAGCTCCAGCGACTCGGAAAGCAGCTCTGGATCCGACTCAGAGACCGAGAGCAGCTCCAGCGAGAGCGAGGGCAGCAAGCCTCCACACTGCTCCAGCCCCGAGGTAGGCGGCGGCCGCTGGCTCAGGCTCTCACTCCGGGGCCAGCCCTGGCTTTCATCCTAACTGCCCACCCACCCTCCTGCTGTCCCCCAGCCTGGAGCAAGCTGTTGGGCTATGGGGCTCTATTCCTTACTGTGTCCTCTCCCTGTCTCTTGATGACAAGGCTTCCTTTCAAGTATGAAGCATCAGCTTTTACTGTCTAAAAAAAAAAAAATCTCTGTTCGGCTTCCAGAAATTTCCACATATGCTATAAACATCAGTGACAGGAAATAACCCATGGTTGGGGTCTCCCCCTCAGGGCCATCCCAGGCAATAACCAGGCAGAGAAGTTTGTCACTTGGGAAGTGTGACCACCCATAAATCACAGGCCAAAGAGTTTTATGCATCGGACATGCTTAGAATGTTACCTTTCTGCAGTTGGTCACGCATCGGAAGAACAAGGGCTGTAAATGTTAATAAAACCGCCCTTACCATGTTTTCTTTGTGAAAATATAAAAGGAGAAATTAGCATCCACCTACAAATAATAATGAAACCTTTTACGGCTGTGACCGATATCTAAGGGGAAGATTTAGGTGCCTCATATAAAAACATTATAAGGTACCAATAAAAAAAAAAAAAACATTGCTGTTTCTACTTTCAGTGGAAAGAGGGGAGGATTAAACAGTAATTCAGAGCCCAAAGATTCTTGGGTGAGGGCTGAAAACCAGGTCCTCGGGCCTGTGGAGCCATAAGGGCAGGCTTTGTTTTCTAAATAATGAGTAGAACGGTTTCCTCTTGAGATTACGGGCAGTTGACATCACTGCGGACTGTGGGGTGAAAAGCTTTGCTTACAGCCCTCCATGCCACCTAAGGGACCAAGAGCACAAATAGGCTCTGAGCCGCAAAGGCGGACCCTGCGTGGAAAGTCCAGCTGTGCCATGCATAGAATGCACACCCAGTGTCATGCCTGTACCCCCCCCCGGAAATGCTCCCATTCCAGGCTCACGCCCATGCAAGCTTTTGTTTTATGCCCCACAGCCCACCTTCGCTCTCCGCGTGTTCTGTATCACGCCAAGCTCTCCGTGCATCCTAAAATAAGCCGCTCACTAGTGTCTTCTGTCCTTCCCACAAAGTCCCCACCTGCCCACCTGTACCCGTAGGCATAAGGTCAAAGGCCTTAGCTGCGCTAACCTATTTGCTGCGCTAACCTATTTGCTGTACCCTGACTGATCCCAGAAGCTAAGCCCTCATCCCTCCCTCATCATTCATCCATTCATTCATTCATTCATCCATGCAGTGTCCATTCAATAGATATGCGTTGACCATCAGCCACAGTACTACATGACAGAAAGTGTCCTGTCTGTCCAGAGCTAACATTCCAGTGGCAGTTATTTGAAATGGGGGGGGGGACCATGGGAAAAAATACTGGAGGTGATTGAACTTTAGTAGTATCCACATTGTACTATAATTTGTTGAGAAACTCCAGCACATTGAATTATAGTCCGTGCGAGAGTACTTGCCTAGCATGCACAGAGTCCTGGGTTCAATCCCCGTTACCGGGATGGGAAAAGGAAAGAAAGTGATAGGACAGAAGGTAAAAGAGCATCCCAGGAAGTCGTGAGCCAGGGTGGGGGCGACCGGAAGGAGGCGGGGCCTATGAAGTACCTCCTATCCAGGTTTCTTTGCTTTGTGACTTTATTTTGGTTAAAACAACACTGAACATGAATCCCGGGGCTCCCGAGTTGCCTGCTTTTGCTTGAGAGCAGCACTGTACTTTCTAAAAGCATCGAGCCTGGAATTCTGGGCAGTAGAGGCTGTAGAGGCTCTTGTCGTTTCTTCCTGAAAGTCTCAGATGGAAGAGGGAGGACCTGGAGTTTTAAGTTCTTGGAGAGCGTAAGAGATGTCCACTCCCTTCTCTGTGGAGGGAAGGCGGAAGCTGGGTGATGCATTAACCAACTCCCCAGATTTCCTTTCTTCTGGCAAAGGATGTGTGTACGTGCGTGTTGGAATAAGAGTCACACACTTTGGGCCTTTTCCCCCCAAGGTTAACACAGAAACGTAGCCTGTTTGTAAACATAACAGTTTGTAGTAGTTGAACATCACAGTGCTAGGTAGCAGCCTAACTCTGCTTCTCTTGGAGGTGGCTGAACTAGACTGCCGGGCAGACAGCGAGGAGCCCTGTATTACAAGCCCCAAGTGATAGATAGGCCAGCCCCTGATAGCCACATTCCACAGGCCATGGCTCACATCCACTTGTGCTGCCTCGAAGCAAATAGCCTTGGCGGTCACTTCTCTCCCAGACTGCCCTTCCATGGGCGTGGAGGGAGAGGACGCACTCACGTTCTGACGTACTCACGTCTTCCTCCGCTCTGCCGGCGCTTAGAAAACTCGCTGCTCCCACTGAGACTCCTACAGATCGTTCTCTGTGGACCTGTTTGTTGGAAGCCACTCTACTGTATATGAATCGCCCCCAGCGTAGGCAGGCCAGGTTTTGGAGAGCTAGCACGGAAAAGCCTCTGTCAGTACGTACAAAGCTGTGACTCCCCTCTGGCCTGGCCTATGCTGGATTGTTCTCTCCTGGGTTTTCCTGGCATCGGGTATGTCCCTCTGATGCCAGTGCGTCTCAGGGGTGGAAGCTGCCTTTCCATGCAGCCACCACACTGACAACGCACAGGGTTTTCTGGTCACATCAGGTTAGCGCCATGTCTTTCTACCTCCCGACCCTAGATATTGCTCTTACAAAGTGCGTTTTCCGTTGTGACCACTCCCCCAGTGGATCTGACCATGCCACACCTTCATGAGGTACCTGCACAGAAAGCACGTTTTAGAAAAGACCACCACAGAGTCCTCATTGCAGTCAGCGGGAACTCAAAACTCATGCTGACAGGTGCACGGCCTCTTGATGATCTGGAACCCCTGGGCCACTTGGCAGCGTGTGCCCTAAAGGAGTAGATCAAGTGGGGATGTTCAGAAGACGGGTTAGGGAAGAGAGCCCGGGTCACGCACAGAATGCAGGGAGCCCCCGGGGAACAGACGTCTCGGTGTTAACTTCAGGATGTGGGTGCCAGCCCTGCACGACGGCAGACTGGGACCCGGAGCCGCAGGTTTCCCTCCATGTGGTCACCTGTCTCTTGAGCGTCCATGACCACAGTGGCTCCCTCCACTACGGCAGCCACAGCTTCAGCACTATTCCCTAACCCTCGAGGGACAGACAATACAGACTGAGCAGAAGCATGGCCACCAAGCTCCCAGCCCTGACATGGCTGTACAAGGCCATTAAAAGGCCTGACCCTAGCCAGAAACGAGTGCAGACTAGTTGAAGGTACGAGCCGCATGCCCATGAGACAAACGCAGAAAAGACTGTGCTGTTGGGTGAAACAGAGGCCAGCAGACATTGTTTGCAAGAACCAAGTTTCCTCTGAACTCTCAATTTTAGGTTCAGGACTGACATGTCTCAGAAGAAAGAGCTCCCTTTCATGGGGCGACTCCGAGAGTCCTGGGGGGAGGGGAGGCAGCTAGTGCGGGGGAACCCGCTCTGCGCACCTGGCAGAGCCCGGGAAGCGTGCAGCCATGGGGTATCACTCAGCCTTTCTGAGCCTCATCTACAGATTAGAGATAGCATTTCCTATCTGTCAAGATTAAATCGGGCCACATATGCAAAGTGGGAAGGCATACTGTAGGTGCTCCAGCAATGATAAATGATTCCAACCAAGACGATGGGCTCTTGAATGCCAGTCTGGGGAATCTGGATTTTGTCTAAGAGGCAATAGGAGGTTATTGTAGGCCCTTGAGAAAGGGAATGTGATTTAGTGATGTGTTGAAAATGATACTTGAGACTGATTCATTCAGCTGTGAAGAACAAGGGAAAAAAAGTGACCCAGAGTGCTTCTGGCAGTGGGCCCGTCCGAAGTGTATGAGATTCTACAATTCACCGTTACTGGTCCCACTCTGAAGTTCCAGTGTGGCTCTGCCCGCTCGCAGCTGTGTCTCAGCTACAAACAGACTTCTGTGCTGTCTCTCACGAGAGCTATGGAAGCCTGGGGTGGAGGAGGGACCTGGTGTGAGCCCTGTGCTCCGTCCGCCTGGTGATTGAGCCCTCTCTGCCGCACACATTTGTTCTTCACGGCCCCTTCTGCCCCCGCATTGCACTTCCTTAGCGACACTGAAGCTTGACACAAAACAGTTAGGGGAGGCAGACTTGGAGCCCATGAATGTTTGTCATCCAGTTAGCTTTCAGGGGGCAGCAGCTGCCCCTCAGCTGGGAGAGCACTTGCCTAGCTTGCAAACACGAGGCCCTGAGCTCTGTCCCTGAGGCTGTTTAAACCCTGTGTGGTAGTTCACACTTGCAATCCCAGCCCTTGGGAGGCGGAGAGAAAGGGGGTCAGAAGTTCAAGGCCAGCCAGATCTGTCTCAGAAAGAAACTGAAAATCGCTTTCAGATGCTCTTCAGAAGACAGGAGCTCCCTTGCAAAGAAGCTATTCTGTGTCCCTTATTTTCCCACTTGTCACCATTGTGATCTAAGCCAGTCAGCGTCCTACAGGCTTCTCTTCCTGCCTTTTCTCTGGAGAAGGCCCCCCCAAAAGCAGAAAATCACATGTAACACTCAGCGAGAGCAAGAATGGGAGAACTGAGCTCCCCTGGTCCAAATGCTCTAAAACCGGCCACGGGTGGGGAGTTCACATCAGGACACTATGTCCCGCGTTCAAAGCTACTTTAAAACTGTACAAAGTCACCGTCAAGGGACCGGGAGATAGCTCCGTAAGCAACGCTAGCTACGCAAGGGTGAGGGACTGAGAACCCCATGAAGCCTGGCGTGGTCACTCGTCTGTAACCCTAGGCCTCCTGTAGCGAGATGGGAAACAAACACAGGAAAATCCGTGGAAGAAAGCTGCTGAGTCAGCTAGTCACAGACAGCTGCAAACAACAGAGGCTCTGCCTCCAGCAAGATAGCCGATGAGAGAGTACTGATGCCTGAGGTTTCTCTGACCTTCACATAAATGCCCTGGCGTGTACTGAAGCACACTTATGCATGTATATACAACACACACACACACACACACAATGACTTTCACATTTAGACTTGGGGTCTATCTCTCAATGATCTCATGATTATATGCAAATTGTCCAAAATTCAAAAATAGCATAAAACCCGAAGAAGTCCTAGCCCCAAGCATTTGTAATAAGGGAGAATAAGCTGATCTCATCTTTTAAGAGTGACCATCACAATGTCCCTGCTCCCCTGCACAGCTGTGATTGGTGGACACCATATTAGGTGGCCAGTTCCTGCTGGCTCCGCCCCCTGATGTTATCAGAGGCTGCCTATCTCCCTGGCTGTGTGTGCCCTCAACTCCTGCAAGCCTGTCTAGCAACCTAGTGTCTCAGACACAACCCCTCCTGACCCGCTTAGGTATGTAACAACACTCAGAGCCCTAAGCTCTGCTCCCAAGATGCACCTCATTGTTGAAAAAAACCTTAGAATTTCTTATAATACCATCACAATGATAGATAAGTGATTGGTGTATAAGGAGATAGATGATGGATGGATAGCTGGAGATATAGATAGATAGATAGATAGATAGATAGATAGATAGATAGATAGATAGATAGGGAGGATGGATGGATGGATGGATGATGAGTAGGGTAGGTAGGAGGTAAATGATAGACCTGAGTCAAATAGACATTCTTGTTCTAGGCCAACAGTTCTCAACCTGTGGGTTTCGACCCCTCTGGGAGTCAAATGACCCTTTCACAGGAGTCACCTAACACCATCGGAAAACACACATATTTATATTATGATTCATAACAGTAGCAAAATTACAGTTAAGAAGTAGCAACGAAAATAATTTTATGGCTAGAGGTCACCACAACACGAGGAACTGTATTAAAGGGTCACAGCATTGGGACGGTTGAGAACCACTGCTCTAGCCTAGTGTCTGGCTCCTGAAGCATTAATGCCATGGATTCAGAGAGAGGGAACTCACAGAAAGAAAATAATGGCGTTTGCCCGAGTCACCAATTGGAAATATTCCGACTGAAGTCCCAAGCCTCTCAAAAGACATATTTTCTATTTGTTTTAATTAAATCCTAGTGGTACATGGGTGCACTTTTATTAGAAATCAACAATCTCTGTAAAATCGTAATTTCTAACCTGTTTGGAACATACAGCCTCACAGACTCAACTCAAAACTCTAGACCTCTTTGGGGACATCAACACAGCCCCTTCCTCTCCTGTTCAGAGCATTCCCTACACCCTCCACACAAGCTGAGGGTGAAACACAGTAATTCCCATGATCTGCTCCAAGTCAGCATCATTGCCTCTGGGGGCGGTTTCTGAAGTCATCTGTGTCCAAACATTTCTAGCAGACCCTGGCAGAAGCAGGCTGAGGGAGGACCCAGTGAGGCTGACAGGCTGTGCAGGGCACACCGGGTCCATTTGAAAGCGGTGCTCTCTGCTGCCAACGAGTCACTCACCCGATGATGCTGCTTTTGCCATTAAACACCTATGACCTGCTTGCCTTCTCCATGTAAGTTACGTGCTAATGGGGAGCCGGTTCTGGGTTCACAGATTTTTCTCAAAGGTGACAAGTCAGAAGAAAAAGGAAATAACATTTTAATGCTCAGGGCCACCCAGTTATTACTGCCCAGTTAAGTTCACAGAAGCTTGGCCAGGCGGTGGTGGCTTCACGATTTTAATCCCAGCACTCGGGAGGCAGAGGCAGGCGGATCTTTGTGAGTTCGAGGCCAGCCTGGGCTACAGAGTGTCAGGATAGGCTCCAAAGCAATACAGAGAAACCCTATCTTGAAAAACCAAAAAAAAAAAAAAAAAAATTCACAGAATCTTGAATTTAGATGTATATGTACAAATGTACATGAAATGACATATGTACGTACAAATAACTAACTGTTTAGTGCCCAGGAATAAGCTGGTGAGGTGTGATGCTGTCCTGTTATTTTATTAAGTGTACTTGAAACTGCTCTGTGGATACTGTGGTGCCAGGGGCCAGCTGGGCACCCTCTGTACCAGCGGAGGGCTGTCCCACATACCTGAGCTTCCTTTTGCTATTTGTTGCCATACCATTCAGTTCTCTTTCGCTTAGCAGAGCATGTCAGGATCGAAACAGTCGGGGCACCTTTTACGTGTGCCTGTTTTAAACGCTGTTTTGTTTGTTCTGGGTTTTCTGTTTTCAGGCGGAACCTGCGTCCTCTAACAAGTGGCAGCTGGATAAATGGCTAAACAAAGTTAATCCTCACAAGCCGCCTATTCTGATCCAAAATGAAAGCCATGGCCCTGAGAGGAATCAATACTACACGCCATTGAAAGATGAAGGGCAGGACCGCGGGAAACTTCCCGAGATCTGCCAAGCCAGCCTGAGAGACAAGGACCTCAAGGCTGCCTGCAAGGAGGAGCAGAGGCCTCGGACCGCGAACAAGGCCCCTGGCAGCAAGAGTGTAAAGCAGAAGTCCCCACCGGCCGCCGCCACTGTGGCTGTGACCTCAGCTGCCCTGCTGCCTGCTGCGCCCAGTGCACCCGCCGAGACCGCACCCACGCCCACCAGGAGGTCAGCAGGCAAGAAACCCACCCGGCGCACCGAGAGGCTCTCAGCTGGGGACAGTGCCAGCTGCCACCGGCCAGAGGAGCCCGTGGCCCAAGATACACTGGGGGCTAGTGTGGTGGGACCCCCAGAGCCCCCCAAAACCAGACCCTGCGGTAACAGCAGGACGAGCCACCGCAAGGAGCTGCGCTCCTCCGTGACCTGTGAGAAAAGGCGCACGCGGGGGCTGAGCAGAATTGCCCCTAAATCCAAGGAATTCATTGAGACTGAATCCTCGTCTTCATCCTCCTCCTCTGACTCGGACCTGGAGTCGGAGCAAGAGGAGTACGTCCTGTCCAAGGCTCAGACCACCACCGGGAACGAGCAGCGACTGAAGGAGGCCGCCAGTAGCAACAGCAACAGCAGCGCCTCCAGGGCCCCCGTGGGCTCCATCAACGCTAGGACCACCAGTGACATTGCCAAGGAGCTAGAGGAACAGTTTTACACGCTGGTCCCCTTTGGCCGGAATGAACTGCTCTCTCCGCTAAAGGACAGTGATGAGGTCAGGTCTCTGTGGGTCAAAATTGACCTGACCCTCCTGTCCCGGATCCCAGAACACCTGTCCCAGGAGCCTGGGGTCTTGAGTGCTCCTGGAGCCAAGGACACTGATAGTGCCCCGGCCAGCCATGCGTTAGACATGCCTGCTGAAAGGACCATGCCAAAATCCAAGAGGAAACGCAAGGTAGGCCTACAGTTGGAGGTCTTGAGCAGCCTCTCTCCCCCTCCCTCCCTCCCTCCCTCCCTCCCTCCCTCCCTCTCTCTCTCTCTCTCTCTCTCTCTCTCTCTCTCTCTCTCTGCACTTGAGGGCAAGGGGTGGACTACAGATAAGCTGCTGGGCAGGCTGCAGGTGGCTGCCCTGTGTACCCTCCAACAATGGCATAAGTGATTGATACTCCTATATAATGATGCATGGAAGTACTGGCACTGTATCAATATAGTTGTAGACACTTAGGCATAAGCCCAGCCTGAAGAAATGCTTGTTCAGGCAGCATTTACGGAGCGTGCAGATATGGGCTGAACACAAGGTGAACCCCATTCTTTGCTGAGATGGACGGGTAATGTTGCTAGTGTGCTCACTCTAGAAAGAGAGCCGGGGCCTAGTGACTGGAGTTTTGAAGGTTTCCAATTTGGGAAATCCTTCCTTCCTCAAGTCACATCTGAGGACTTCGACAATCCCTTCCCTGGCTGTTTGGAAGGAGATAGCTCCATCGGTAAAGTACTCGCCAAGCAAACAGGAGGACCTGAGTTTGATTCCCCCGAGCTCCTGTAAAAAGCTGAACATGGAGGTGCATGCTTATAATCCCAGCGTGGACAGGTGGAGACAGGCAGACCCCCGGGGTCTTCTCCACTGACCTAGTTTCCCGAAACAAGGTGGATAGCACCTGAAATCAAACTCTGGCCTCAATGTGCATGCACACACCCACACATACACTCGCACATTCTCACGCACACACATACATACATACATATGTACGAATCTGGACCACCAAGCAAACACCTAACAACTAACCAAAGATTGCAGTACCCGTGGACGCCATCATTGCTAACAGCAGTCACTACATACAGATGTCCCTGTATGTAGAAGGATGCTGCTAAATACTTTATACATTTAAGTCCCTACAACTTTATTGTGTCATGCCCATGTTAAGCTGAGAGAGCCTAAAAGGACTTGTCCAATAGAAATGGACCCAGGCAGTTGCTGGCCCCACATTTTCCTACTCAGTAATGCATCAGCCTGAGTTTTATGTAGCCGTCTTCCAATTCCCAAAAGGCAATCTGTTCTGTCAACAAAAAAAAAAAAAAAGAGAGAGAGAGAGAGAGAGACTCCGTACACGTGGCTTTTATGGCTTTTTTTTTTTTTTTTTTTTTTTTTTTTTTTTTTTACAGCTGTTTCACTTGCTTGATTAATAGTTGTGGGCAGGGGCAAAATGACTCTTGGGACATGAAATTCAGATGACCAGAGCACTATGGAAGGAGAGAGCGAACTTCCAGAAGTTGTCCTCTGACTTCCACATGAGCACTGAAGTGCACACACACACCCACATACCCACATACACGCGCGCGCGCACACACACACTGAGGTGACTTGGAAGTAATGTTTATTAGGCAATTTTCTTGGCCAAAATGAAGATACTCCTCATTTTGGAAGGGTATATGTCAAAGGCGTAGTCTCTTCCTGGTGACAGTGAGCTTTATTACCAGCAAGGACATTTATTATGCAGGCACAGAATGTGTTTCTTCACATAGTAACACTGAACAGCTTATTTCGACAAAGTGGAATTTGAACCTTGTGAAAGAAAGACCACCAAGAGGCGGCTAGCTACTCCCCCTGTTCTTGACACACACACATACGAAGGCCTTTTTTTCGGTGTTTTATATTTGTGTGTGAGAGAGTGTATGTGTGTGTGGGCCCATGCATACGCCTCAGTGCACACATAGAGGTCAGAGGACAAACTTGTCTCTTCCTCCCCCGTACGGGTCCTAGGAATTGGTCTCAGGTTGTCAGGCTTGGCAGCAAGTGCCTTTACCTTGCAGAGCCAGTTGTACTGACTGTACCAGTTGCCCGTATGCCAAGATCAGGGCAGCTAACTTCCCTTTCAGTAGAAGACATTTCCATCCCTATTGTCACCCATCCTCCATGGGAGGGTTGGAAGAGGCAAATGACTGTGCAGACTCCCTACACAGACCAACACAGCTGGGCCTCGCCCTGCTGAGGCCCCATAAGTGAGATCCAAGGACTTTTAAAGTTCTCTTTCGATCCTTCAAGGGGCCACTGTAACAACATGAGCTTCTAGGACCACCCCCTTTGCAGAGGCTGTGTGGCTTTTTTCTCTCCCACAAAACAACCCACGCGGCCCTGATGGACAGCTCTTGTCTCCCCAAGAGTAGCGCTTTGGGAAGTGCATTTCCATTGGACCCTGATGCGGTAGAGTCAAACACATTAGTGCGGCATGAACCCAACCCAAGCCCTAGGCTCTCGAGAGGGACTTGATGCTGTTTTGGGCTGAAGCACCCTAGACAGCACCCTCTGCTCCCGTTCACTAGAGACATTTCTTTCAGAGAGGCCAAGCTTCGGTTTCTCACCATTGACCCCCCCCCCCCCAACGAGCTTGGGCAAAGCACACACGGCACGCTTTATTCTCATACCAAGAGCGCAGGGATGACGCCGCAGGGTAATCCAGACCGGATCCGCTTTGCAGGGCTAAACACTTAGCAACATTCGTCGCCCGGTTGTGATCAGGACATGGTGTCCTTCCCTTCACTGAGCCGTCCACACTTAACCCAGCGCACATCCTCCTCGTTCACCGTGGAGCCCATGCCAGGGGCTTTGCTTGTGCCTCATTCTCTAGAGGAGCTAGCTGAGGGCATCTCCCAAGAGGCTGTGCTGTGTGACAGGCAGTGGCCTGCACCTCACGGGCACCCCTCAGAGCCCAAAGTTGATTGGCTTCCTCTTGTTACCACCCAGTGTGATAACGAAGATGACTACCGGGAGATAAAGAAGGTCCAGGGAGAGAAGGACAGTACTTCACGTCTGGCCATCTCCACTAGCAACACCTTGTCCGGGAGCCACTGCAACATGAACTTCAACAGGTAAGCCTGTTCCCCCAGGGTAGAGGTGAGCAGGAGGGGGCCACTACATCTGAAAGTCACACGCACGCACGCTGTGTCGAGGAAACGGAAGATCCTTCTGATTGCTTAATCTGAGTCTGCCCGTTTGCTTCGCTCAAATTAACCGAAGGCTGGTAATTCTGTCTAACGTGAGTCCCATGCTCTCTTTCCAGTAGCTGTATCAGGCCCTTCCTTACCTGTAACCAGAAACCAGTGACCTGGCACACACAGCTCTGCGCTCTGTACCCCCCCAAAGATGATCTCCTCCCCTAACCCTAACCCTAACCCTAACCCTAACCCTAACCAAATCTTACAGGCTAATGCTTTAATAATAGCTGCAACACGCATAAGAACCAAAAATGGCGCCTGAGCTCTTGGGCGTGGACTTAGAAAGGATCTGTGCTTCCAAGGTCACCCAGTGACTCCTCCAAAGGAGCAGCACCGGGACCCCCACACCACCTCGCTCTGTGATAAATGGTCCTCCAGCAAGGCAAGGTCCCAGCCATTCATTAAAGCAAGTAGCTTAGCATCAGTCATAGAGGCTCTTCCATTTAGAAGCCGCTCCGCACAGACCCCGCGTTCCCTCTGCTGAGACTTCTCAGTCTCCCTGGCTATGCACAGAGGGTTTTTAAAGGGAGATTAATGGTTCTGCACAGCACATAAAAATGTAAACGGAAAGGTTGGGGAAAGACGTAGAGCCTCTATGAATGTCGAAGAGGCAACTGGGGAGCAGAGACGCACAGGTCCGCGGTGCTCTGGGGAATCCCCTTGAGATGCTGCTGAAACCCTGCACGGGGGACAGATACTCGGTTCTTCCACAGCCCTCTGTGCATTCCAGGAGTAGGGAAATGGGAATGAAGGGGCCTCGCCCCCACCCCACACACACACGCAAATATCTCTCTTTAATGTATAGTGTGGTTTTTTGTGCATTTGCCAGTGCTTTAAATAACCTTCCTGCCTAGTGGCAGTCGTAACCGCTGCATAGCAATGAACACAAGGTATCCGAAACAAGCATGACAAGAAAATACCCATGGTTTCTGCTGAGACACGCTCATGGGTGCTGCTAAGATGACTCTGGCTTAACCATTCTCCTGATCCTTGCCCTTGCTTGTAACGGGAAGAAATGTTCCAACGAGAGATGAGAAAGGGTGACAGCGATGATTAAACTGTTTGCCATCCAGATTCATGAACCTGAAATTAAAACTCTCTTGCTCTGGCGACTGTCTGGCAGGGCCTCCCAGATCTGACTGTCTTGTCGACACTAAGTAAGGTCACAGTGTGAATGAAACTGTACGGAGTTCTTTCTGGGAAAGGTGGCCTGTGGACCTCTGAGACTGTGGTTCACTGCCAGTTTTACCATCGCAGAACACAACAGAGCCGCCCGCCCAGCTACGAGGCTTTCCATAGAATGCTCCACTTGCATATGTTAAACCTGCAACAGCCACGTATACCCCTGATTGTGTTTAATGCCAGTAATTTGTTTTCCACCACACATGAAGAATGTAAAATGATAGACACTTAGGAGCAGCTCTTCCCTCACTCAGATGTCAAGAAATGATTGTTTCCAGGCTTTTCACACCCATCCTTGGCAACAGCTCCCCTTTCTCCTCGCCAGACACATCTTGGGCTCCTCCAGAGCGGTTGTCTGTAACATGTCACTCAGTACCTTTGAAGACAGGAACCCCGGCTCTATCTGCGAGATGTTAGATCTCAGATCCCCACTGTGACTACCAGCCAAGGAAATTGCTTTTTGAAGTGACTCTAACGGCTTGTTTGCTCTGATAACCAACACATACAATTAACCCACCATAACCCCGGGAGTCACAACTAAATTTTCATTGGCGCTACCCTTTTGTTATAGTTGTTGTTGCTTGTGATCTGTACAAAGTGACCCTGTATGCCTCTCTCGTTGGCAATGACTGACTCAGTTTAAGGATAACAACATATCCTCCACCAATGGTACTCCTCCCTAATGCCAAACACATAGATCCCTAGCAGTAAGCATCACCATCACAGTTAAGACTTCAGTGAATTTGTCTTCCCTGATGCTTACTGTTGGATAGATTCTGAGAGTAGACAATGCCGATCAATGTGTGGTGAATTCAGAAACTCGGCTGTTGGAAGGCGGCTTCAGGCCTTGAAGTCACCCTGTCGCCCCATGACTGTTTCCCGCAATCTGGGTGCCCACCCTCTAGGAAGCTAAGAGCTCGGTTACCGTTGTTGACTATCGATTGACTTCCCCACGCTCCTCACACTTGTGAGGGAAAACTTGCTTGTTCGGTGTTTGCAGACGCCTGGATGAAGAAATCCCAAGGGTGCACGTGTTACTCTTCTTCATCTTGCATTGGCAGGGACTCAAGATCACTGTGTGTCCTCATAAAGAGACAGGGCGCGAGATCTGTTAGTTGTTTTCTGTGGTCCTGGCGCCACAGAGTCACGCCTGCCACAATAATTCCCAAGAAACTGCTTCCTCCCAGCAGATTTTGGGATGGGAGGTTGGGCCTTACGAGAACCCTGTCCCTTTTGCCTGTGCTGACCGGGAGACCCTGTTGTTGTTTCTCTTTTCAGCTCGGCAATACCGATAAACAAAAGTGAAAGAACGCTCCGATCCCCGTCCTCGCCGCTCTCTGACGCTTGCAAACACAAATACTCCAGCGAGGACCTGACCTCTTCCAGCCGCCCTCATGGCAATGGGGTGTTGACTTCCGCCTCCTCCAACAAAAAGCCGAAGGCTGACAGCCAGCTGCAGTCACACCCTGGAGACCTCACGGTGGGTTGACACCCCTCCCTTCTAAGTGAGCTCGGGTGAAATGCTGAGTCTGCCCACCACTCTGTCCCTGGCTGAGCACACTGTACACTCAGGCTGGAGGTCCCGTGCTGAAGGCATTTCTGGTGAAATCTGGTGGAGGAAAGTACTCCTCCTCCTCCTCTCTCCCTAAGGAATAGGAAGCAAGAAGCCTGCCCCGTTGACCTTCCAAGCCCCTTCTGCTTATGAAGCATCTTGGAACTATGTCAGACCCCAGAATAACACCATCCCCAGACAAAGAAAATTAGGAGTTTTAAACCGGCCAGTTTCTGTGGTGAGGAAACGTCCTACCCATACGTGACTCCCATGCCAACATTGCAGGACTGTCACCCGCTTTTGTCCACCCGTGGAATGGGGTTCCTAGTACCACCCTTAACCATCCATACCAGGGTCGTTCTAACACTCCCCGGGGGTAGAGTAGAGGCGCTGGAGCTTTGGTGTGATTCTGGGCCAGTTGCTTAATCTCTATGAGCATTTCTTTACCGAAGCCCTTCTAGATATCACTGACATTCCATTTAGTTCCTCCACATTCCCTCACTAGCCCCGAAGTACAGCATCTCCCTGGGGTATTCTGTAATTCCATACACTCTGCCTGACTTCACCCAGGTCACTGTGCCTGCAAAAGCCAGCAAGGTTCTGCGAGGCTAGGGAGAGAGAAGATTTCAGAATAGGACTATGCCCCAGACTATGGTGGCACACACCTTTAATCCTGGCAGGGGAGGCAGAGTCAGGCAGATCTCTGAGTTTGAGGCAAGCCTGAACTAGGATAGCCAGAGCTACAGAGAGGAAACTCTGTCTTTAAAAAAAAAAAAATAGACTGTGCAAAGAAAGGTATTAAGCAGGGGCTAGTACTTACCATTTTCCCCATGGATTTAAAATGCAAGAAAGTTGGCAGGAGGCTCTATGGGAGCCTGAGTCTTAGCACATCTCCAAACCACACCCTCTCTGACTGCACCCACATTTAGAAGTAATTATCTCAGGCAGGAAGAATTCAGAGAGACTCTGCTAGAGAAACACGGGACAGAAAAAGCTATCTGTTCAGGTTTTAAAACAAAACGAGTTTTCTTTTCCTTCATATCCTTGTGCCGTTGTGCCGAGAGGTACAACCATTTGCTCCTTTCTCATTCACCAAGCAGCTGCTTTCTGAGCGCAGGCCCTATCCTAGGCCAGGCTCATGCTGAGCTGATGAGCTGATCACTAAGTGCATCCGCCTCTGCATCACCGGGAGGCTATGAGCCCATCTGGGGAGAGAGCCTAGGACAGGGAATCCTACACATTCATAACCACACCCCCTCATCACTGCCAGACATGCTACGATGATGCTCACAGTGAACTGGCATTTGTCTCGCAGAGAGGTCTGATTGGCACCAGGAGCAGCAAGTTTCTGAGACAGCACTACTGGCACCTGGGGCTGTGTAACCAACCATTCATGGTCAGGATAGTCCTGTGCACCGTAGGGTCCCAGGCAGTACCCCTGGCCTCTACTTCCTGCCAGTACAAGAGGTCAGATAATAAATGGATGATGGCTTGTTGGTTTGCGCTGGCTTGTCCCATCTGCTGATTGTAACGGTCTCCATCACAGGGAGACCCCAGGTGTGGACATCGTGTAAAGACACAGGCAGAACTGGTCCCCAGTAATAACTCACTCACAGAAAGGGCCAGATTTGAACCACTAGACATAGGTTGCCCCAGTGTACAATCTCTAAAAGGCAGGGCAAGTCGCAGTGACATTCGCGGCACAAGAATCGTGATGTCAAAGGTCCTGAGGAAGTCAGCACCGGCCCATGAGTCTGAGCGATAGAGAGCCTAGGAAGATGCCTGAAGACAGACCAAAGGCCAGCCTCCACTGCTACCATGATGGCGCTCCGGGTTTCTCCCACTTCATAGAGAGCTAAGTGGGCACCATTTAAATGTCTCAAGAACAATTAAATTAAGCATCCAATCTTCTTGGTCATGTACAACACTCTTCCTCTTAAAATCCTGTACATGACCCTGACCCACACCTAAAAAAGCATTTATGTATATGTTGCTACTTCAGAGCAAACAGTCTTTGTGTTGTGACCAGACTCGTGCTGTCTTACCATGTGTCAGCCCACAGTGGGTGCTTTGTGACCTTGGGTAGTAGGACCTCTTTCAAACAGTTTAAGTAATTGCTTTGCGCTCTATTTTTCAGTGATAGTGCCTGGGAAGCAGTCCATTTCTGGCATGAATGGCAGCTCTTGGGAGGGCTAGTTAGAGTGAGACGGGGCGAAAGCTTGGCTTTGGGGCACATATGAGAATGTGGTAGAAATACAGATACTCACAGGGAGTGTGATTGCTCACTCCTGTAACCCTGGCTCTCCCAGGGAGTGTGATGAAAGCTCACTCCTGCAATCCTAGCTCTCACAGACAGTGTGATAGCACACTCCTATAATCCTAGCTCTCAGAGAGTATAATAGCACACTCCTGTAATCCTAGCATTCAGTGAGCTGAGGCAATTCAAAATCAGCCTGAGTGATATATCAAACCTTATGTGGAAGGGTGTGGGGAGCAGGAAGAGAAGAAACAATGCTGATTTCTGAGACTACCCTAGATCTACTAAAACAGAAACTAAGCCAGCAATCCGTGTTTTAATGGGTCTCCGGATGATTCTGATACATGTGTGATATTGGGAAAAATAAAGCCCAAGCTTTCACTCCAGGACCTCCACCCACAGCTCCTGCTAGAACTTGAGAAAGGCACCTGACCTACCCAGTCTTAGTTCTTCATCCATGAGAGAGGTGTAAGACCTCCCTCTTGACATTGTGAGCACAGCTTTTGATAACAGGTGCAAAAGTCCTCAGCTTGAGACTTAGACATGTACAGGCTGGGCACCCCTAATCCAAAGGGCAACAAAATCTGAAACTTGATGAACACCAACATAATTCTGCAAAAATGATCATGCCATACCTGGTCCCTATGATAGGTCACAGTCAAAAAGAGTCACAAAGCTGTTTTAAAACATACTGCATATAGACAGGTAGTGATGGCCCACGCCTTTAGTCCCAGCACTTGGGAGGCAGAGGCAGGAGGATCTCTGTGAGTTCGAGGCCAGCCTGGTCTCAAGAGCTAGTTCTAGGACAGCCAGAGCAACGCGGTGAAACCCTATCTCAAAAACAAAACAAAAAACCTGCATATAATTGATTTCATGTGTATATAATTACTATATGGATAAGGAGAAACACAGATGAGTTTTATACTTAGACCTGAATCCCTTTCCCCAAACAGTCAATCACTTGTGGTCCCCAGTAATTTGAGTAAAGAATATATAGCTTGTATTACCTCTTCTTTATCGAAACAAAATTGCCACCATTTCTAATATAGAACAAGCAGTACTCTGCAGATGAAAAGGTGTTGTGTTTAACAGCTCTCTTAGCCAGGTGGCCAGTGTCTCAGTGACTTCTGTGTTGTTTGTTGTTTAGAAAGCAGCTCACAACAGTTCCGAAAACGGCATCCTCCATACCAAGTCACGGCCGCAGACTGAGCCATGGTCTCCAGGTTCCAGTGGCCACAGGGACTGCAAGAGACAGAAACTGATCTTCGATGACATGTAAGTTTGGACCTTCTTGAAAATGTGAGGGAGGAGAAAGTCGAAAGAAAGATCCTTACCTCCCATTTATGATGTGGCTGTTTGCCTTTGAGTGATATGGTCATTTAAATGTCCCTTTCAAAGGAAGCTCGAACCTAGTGCACAGCCCTGGGTAAACAGGGTTCCTTAGGGCTAATGGAGTTGACACCCAAGACCTAAGAAAACTGTGGCAAACTGCAGTAACGGGTCTTATTTCTTTTAAAAGTATGTGTGTATCTGTCTGGGTATGCATGGGTGCTCACGGATCACCTATAGCCAAGGCAATTAACTGCCCAGTGTGGGTACTGCAACCAAACCCTAGTTCTCTTCGAGAGCAGAACATGCCCTTAACTGCTAAGCTGTCTCTCCAGCCCCTCCAGTGAGTCTTATTTCTAAGGATATGTATTATGGGGTGTTGGTGATTTTATGCTATCAGAGAAAAAAAAAAGTACTTTTGGTCTTGTGAACTCTAATAGCAAAAGAATAATAGTGATTTACTCCGAAGGCTGTTTTCTTCCAAAATGTAGGTTCTTTGATACAGTGTAAACAGGCCTTCTGTAGAAAAGCAGCCTGCCATCCTTTGTCTACTTCTCCTGCTGAAAACCTGAGTGCACCTCCCATGCTCATTACCAGGGGAAGGTGAACAAGAATGTCCAGCCATGATATTGGGGGGGGGGGCTGAAAAATCACAGCCAGAAAGGCAGAGATGATGCTAAAGATGATCTAGTCTCAGAGAGAAAGCCCATCAAGGAACACCTAGAAGGAGGCGATAATGTTTCATGAGTTCAGCCTGAATCCTGTGTTCCTTTGTTAGTCGACCCACGAACATGCAATGCGTGTCCAGTTGAGGCAGGACAATGAAGTCATCTGGGAAACCTCGTGCAGGAGATCCCTGCCCTCTGCTGGCTTATGTTCCAACTGCAGAGACAGACTACAAGCCATAACCCCGCCGGAAGTCTCAACATCCCCCAGCCCCTCTATGAAGAAAATAATAATACCAGTGACTACTGTCACATCAGCAGCAGCATCTGGGGACCATGAGGCATCACGCAGGAGAGATTACTCTCCCGCCCATTGTTTGACAGCCTTAACCCTCACCCAAGAGTAGACCTGAGTTATTTCCTTCTAGCAGCTTCCCATACTGAGCCATAGTCTTTTAAGTGTTGGTTTTACTTTATACATTAACCAAGACACAGTGTTTGGGGGGTTGGAAGCCAAATGCACAACTTTGTGTCATTTAAGAAGCACACGCCAGGTTAACTGAATTGGGGGAAGTATTTGGACAGCCGGAAGGCCCAGGTCCCTTTCCTGAGGCTCCTGCAGCTGCTTGCCAACTCCATGCTGCACGCAATCCTCCCCTCCCTTAACTGCTCCACCGCCTTCCTCCCTTCACTTGCCCTTTGCTGAACAGAATGGCAGGTGCTCCTTTGACCCCGGAAGGACAGTCAGGTGGTCAACTATCGTTTCAGTAGGACTTTGCGGTGGAAACTGGCCCTGTGAACTTTAGGTATTTTTTGAGAGTGATGTTGAAGGTCATTGTGGAATTTGTGGTTGGGTGTCATAGCTGATAACAGACGTATCAGGCATTGGAATGCTCAAAATATCAGACATCTCCAGGATATGGTTTGGGGAGCATGGTAAAGATAAGAAAGAAACGAGAATGTGTGAGAAAATAAATTCAGTGACTTCTCCAGTGTTCAGAACTAACGACCTGAGTCAGAAAGAACAGCGACCCAACGATGGTAGCCAGTCTGGCGGTTAGGGATATGGCGCCGTGGAATGGAAAAGCCCGCTTACATACCCATTCCACGGAGAGGTAAGGCCAGTGGCCCAAAATGATTTGAAATCTTCAGCAGTAAAATAAACATGCAACTGAAACAGCCAGTAATCTAAGAGAGCAGCGGGAAGGTTTCTTAAAACCCAAAACACGAAGACCCAACATTGTCTCTTCCTTTGAGCCATAAAAATAGCTGCCCCTCAAAGAGATCAAAGGCACCTGACACATGCAAAACGTCTACCGTGACTAGCTGCTCTACTGAGCACCCAGGAGGAATCAGGTACAGGGCAACAGCTGGGGTATGATGATTGGTTCATCCTGGGTCATTCTGCAGAGCAGAGAGAGACTGGGACATGAATGGGACCACTCCTGTGGCCACGCCTCCTCCTCTGTGACCACGCCTCCTCTGTGGCCACGCCTCCTCCTCTTCCCACATTCTCCTGTCACCCTTTCTTCTTCCTGTCCTTTCTCTTACCCCTCTTTTCTTCCTTCCCTTCTGTCATAATTTGCTTCAACTTGACACACCTGGGAAGAGCAGACCTCAGTTAAGCAACTGTTTCCATGAGAACAGGCATGCCTGCGTGCCATTTTCTTTCCCGCCGATTGGTGCGGGAGCCCAGCTCACTGCGTGCACTACCATCCCGGGACAGGCAGGACAGGCAAAGCAAATGAGCCTCTTCCTCCCCCAAGTGGCTCTCTCTGCCCTCTCTTCCTTCCCTCCCCTTTCACCCTGTCTCCTCCTGCCTTGGCAACCTCCTAAGTGCTCAGCTCCTGTCACTCCTCTTGGCTTATGTTCTCCGAGGGTGTCAACAAGCACCGAGATGACCGAGAGGCTGCCAGGAGAAGGGAGGGAGAGGGCCAGATCATCAGGGCCAGAGCAACTGAGAAGTTGATGGGAAGCCAGCTACAAAGATCCCAAAAGTAACAGATGCCAGGCTGTCGTTTAGTTCTTAAAGCTGTGTCACGTAGCCTTGGAAGGAAGGAAGGAAGGAAGGAAGGAAGGAAGGAAGGAAGGAAGGAAGGAAGTCATCCTTTTGTAGTATCAATACTTGTTAATGGTTGAATAAACATGCAATTCAGACAACAACTGGATCCACCAGGCTGTCAAGAATGAGTACTGAATAAATACAGCTGAATTATAAATACCCTTCCCAGGGGAGGGCCTGGATTTTTCTATCGTTTTCCTTCTTCCACCAACCTACATGAAAGTACATTTAAATTCATGCTCTTCCGCATGATGTTTCCCACGTTTCTTACCAATTAAGCGCCAGTTAGTGCTTTGGGGATGCAAATGAACCGAAGGGGTTAGCACTTATTTTAAAACCGGGATCAAGGTCGGCATGTTCTTGGTAAGCTGCAAGTGCAGACTAGCGTCAGTATGCCTGCCCTCTTCCCCTGACATTCAGGAGAAGCCCGAAAAGCATGACACAGTCGGGTGGCACTGGCATGATTAACAGACTTTCCTTGCAAAAGACAAAATCTGTGAGAATTTATGTCAAGGAGTGAGAACGCTTGCCTCGCCCCGCAGCTCAGACACAGGTCTTATTAGTGCAAAGCCGTGAGCTATATATTATTTGGTGTCATAATTAGTGACAGGGAGCTCTAGCCGAGGAAAATTGAGAGGGATCTGGGATGGCAAGCCCCGGTCCAGGAGTCCCGAATTCATGGAGCTAAGCGGTAAAAGGCTTGGCGAGAAATAAAGCCTGGCTCCCGCCAGCCATATTGCTGTGTTGGAAGCCAGCGGGGCTGGAGGCCAGCACTGCCTGCTGCTTGCTGAAGGATATGCTGTGCCCTGCCCGTATTTCGCATGGAAGAGGCAGTCACGGCCAGAGCACTCAGCCAGTCCACCAAATGTGCCATCTGTCCCCATGACGCCAATAACAGGAGCAGAGCTGCCTAACCCGCCCGGCACTGAGTGAAGACTCCCTGGGACACTCAGAGCTGAAGGCCATCGAGCACGCGAAATGTGAGCGGGAGGAAGGGATGGGGACTTGACATTTGTGATGTGATTATGGGCAGCAGTGTCCTTGCTAAAAAGGTTTTAATTTTACAGAGGATGGGAAGGAAGAGTCCCGTGTATGAGAGCTTGAATCTCTCCTGCAGCATGGTTTAATCAAAGGAAGCCAACTCGAATGTTTGCCTAGGCCGTAAGAGAGCCAGGCAAGGCACTCTGTGGACCTTTCCAGGCCTGGGGAGACCCCACTCTTTGTCCTTAGGGAATTGTCTCCACCATGAATTCCCTTTCTCAGGCTGAGCCCTTAACTTTATTTTGACCAATGGAAAACCCTGAAGAGAAACAACTGTGTGATTTGGGGGGGAAGGGCACCTCTGTTGTTGACTCTTTCGGCTTTGCCAAAGTTCATCTTTTTAAATATCCAACCCAGAGAGGAAGAACACAGACTGATGGCATTCCCTTTCAGTAAAAGTTTCTTAGGTGATTAAAGCTTGCCTCCCTAGTCAGCACAGCGTGAAGAATGGCAGGGGGCTTCTCCCCCTCCTGAGAAGCCGGTGCCAGGGTTAGGGTTCCAGTAGATGTTCAGGAACAAAAGCTGCTTTTCAATCCTTGCTGCTTAAACACCATCTACCTGCACCCTCCAGGTGTGTGCAGACAGCCAGCAGCAGCATCTGGGGGCCCCGGTCCACACACCCACACACGCGCGCACGCACACACACACACACACACACATGGCCAGCAGTGACTGCGGGAGGAGGCAGGTGACAGAGTTCTTGCCCAGCATGCACCTAGCCCTGAGGGTGCCACCCAGTTCTGCAAGCTAGCACTACGAAGCAGTTGTGTGTGGAAAGAGACGTGTGTAACCCCTTACACGGCACATCTCCTTTTGGAAGCAGTACCTCAAGGCTGGGGGACACAGTAGCACCCCAAGGGCACATCAACTGACATTGTGGGTATCAGACGAAAATTCATTTGATACCACTGTTGCTGCTGCTCTGTCTGATGTGGATTTCAGTTCCTGCAAGCAAACCATCCAGATCTCTCCACGCCCGGGGGACCTGTTTGTTCAAGCACAGTGAGCTCTCGTCCCTGCCAGTTTGCACAAAACAGGCTTGCTCTTTGGAGGGACGGCCTTTCAAAGAGGTAGGAATTACAGAAAGCAGTGTGCCAGCCTCTCCGTGGGAGGCCATTCATCTCTCTCTCTCCCTCAGCCGTGAAGGAGAGCAAAAAAACAGAGCCTGCTTCTGAAGCTCCTGTGCTACAAGATATGTCAGGGTCACCCGCACCCTGCAGCGGCTCAGAGCCAAGGCCATGTGTCTGTAGGTGGCGGTGGCGGAAGACAGGAGGAAAAGAAAACGTACCATTTGGATCAAGCACACCAGTTTGCTTTTGTTACAGAGAACCCTTAGAACAAAGATGCACATGGCTGCCTTCCGGCTCTGCCTTCAGCCAGTTCTGATGTCTGGGGCAGTGGGTGTATGTCGTTCCCTTTACAATGTTTAATCGCACTTTTATTCCTCGTGTTCGCGACCGTCATGAAAAATAACGGGAAAGGTGTTATTACAGAAGTTTAAGAACTCTAGATTTCCCACGTAAAGGCAGATCCCATGGAAAACCTATTTTACCCTGAGATGATTGGGTTTTATTTCAGAACCTTTGACATACTACATTCCATACCTGTGACAGCAGCTGACTTGTATACGGCTGTAGGAAGCAATGCCTTCAGGTTAGTGCGTCCACAGCCACGCTGGACAGTCTCAGTGAGTGACACCCCGTTGGTGCCGATGACTTTATAATGGCCTGATTTAAGAGCATAGCAATGGAAATCACCTGAGAGGAGAAAATGGGCCAATCTTGGGGCAATTTTCAGTGCTTAGTATAGAGAGCCCTCCATTATATGCAAAAAAGGATTCTAACAAGCATGTTTGTAAATGGCCCATAGATGGCACCGGGTTTTCTTTGAGCATGGCAGGTTACTGTTGTAGCTGCCAGGATCTGGTCAGAAAATTGGATGTGTTACTTACCTATAGGCATTGCTGTGTGCCTGTGACTGAGCCTCTGCTTCGGGTTTGAAAAATGCATCCATGTGCTGAAGATAAAAATAAATTGATAAAAATTGATTTAAGAACCCATATTAGGGTCTACCGGCTACTGCCATCTCTAAGAGTAACTCAGAAAGCCCAAGATGCCATAGTGTATGACCAAAAGAGGTGTCCCCCCCCCACACACACACCATGGGAATAAATGCATTTAAAATGACAATCTTCTAGTGGCAAAGTCTGCAAAACAGGACACAAAGAAAATGACCAAACTTAGATACTTGAGTGTAGAGCAGATAATGATGTAGAGAATTTCAAGTTGCCATGGAGACACTCTCTGGCTCATTGGCTATGATGCTGCACCCTCTCAGAAGGTACCACTCTTCCCCGAGGCTCAGAAGAAATTCAGCACAATTCAAGGATTACTGTAGGCTGAGGAAGACCGAAAAGGTCAACTGCATGATTCCTACAGGAACGTGCCAGCAGCCAAGCTGCACACATGCGGTGGCTGTAACCCTGTAACCCTGGAAGGTAACTAATTACCCATGAAGGGTAGTGTAGGCAGGTTCTCTGTGACAGTGGGAGGGACGGTGAGAAGCATGGGCAACGTTACTAGGAATGCTGGCAGGGATCATGACAGGATCTGGTGAGCATCAGTGCATAAGCAGAGAGCAGAATACTACAGGCTGGAGAAAGGAAGAAGGGAACTTCCAAACAGGAGTGGCGTGCTCTACCAGAACTGATGGAACCATCCCGGCCGGATCTTACTCCCTGGTGAATACCTCGCCTGAACAAAGATTTGACCTCACAAGTCCCGAAGATTGGTTTCTGGACTGGAAACAAGACGTGTTTTAGAGACACTGGTCAAGGAGCAAGGCTCCAGGTTGACTCTAAGGGAGTTGAACTGTAAGCCCCAGAACCAGGGTAGAAAAAAAGCCAACTTGGGCGGTGTGTCTTTAAGAGAAGAGGAATTCTAAAAAAGGAAGCATCTGGCAACAAGAGAGAACTTGGGAGAACTGTAACCTCCCCTCAAACTGTAGGCCCTGGGATCTGAAGCTCAGGAGTCAGTCTAGGCTGGGACTGGGGATGACTCTATTTGTCTGTGCTGGAATGTGAAGCCAAAGAGCAAACACGGCAGCACGTGTGTTGTATGTTCCTTCTAATGCTGTAGCAGCAGATGTGTGTCAGACTCAGCGGGATGTCATGGATGTTTGTATGTCATAACTCCAAACCCACAGGGTCTCGAACATCCAGAAATGATCCCTAACATGGATTGGCACCACTGGCTACTCGCTTTTGTAGACCAGCCTGTCCTGGAACTCACAGAGATCCGCCTGCCTCCCGAGTGCTGTGAGATTAAAGGCGTGTGCCGCCACCACCTGGCTGGCTTATCGCTTTTAACAGTTACACTCACTTTAATTCAGGATGTTGGCAATGGAGGAGGTTGTCCACATATGGGGCAGAATATACATAGAAACTACATAGCTTCTGCTCAGTTTTATTGTGGATCTAAAAAAAAAAAAAACACACAAAACAAAACCACACACACACACACACACCCCTCTGAGAAGTTGAAAGCAAACAATAAAAGTTGCCAAAGTTTGAATCAAGTCAATAAGTAGCCAAGGAGGAGAACCTGCCTGTGCCTGAAGGGCCATTCAAGTGTAGGTGTGGGTTCCAGGGAGATGAACTAGAAAAGCAGGCCTGTTTTACTGAGGAGACCTTCAGCCACAACTGAGACCTGCCAATCAGAATGGAAGGCTTTGGGAGCAAGGACGGAGAAGGAGCCATTGCCCAAAGACAGTTGCGTTCAGGAAATCCTGCAGCTTCTTTGTGGTAACACACCAACACGTCCGTCCCAGTATATTGCCACAACTCTGACGGTGTTTGTAGAGGAGCGAGAGGCAGGATACGAGGTCCTTTGTTGTTCTTGTCATTGGTTTCTGGTGCAGACTAATTGTTTGCTTTGACCCTGATTTTGTTTCTTTGCTTGATTAATTAAATGTCATGTTCTAGCCAAGCCAAGTTCATTGTCATTGTACATTACTGTTTCTCTACGCATTTTGATCTCTTTGAGTAAAGGAATGTCCTCACTACCTGGTATTACAATGAGGTAAAAGACCCATTAGAATCTAATCTAAACAAGACAGTTTAAAATAAGCGTATCACAGTTGGTTAAACAGCCTATGACTGATGTCTCTGCTGACATCATATCCCCTGGCTGATATCTGCTGTTTATGCATAAGTCAAGTTTATTGATCACATAACGCACCGAATACAAAGAAGTTTATGCTGGTGGCATATAAGGGATGTAAATGTATTTTTATTTATTTATGTTTTTGATAATCTATTAGACTAAGCATTTTAAAGGTAACAACCGATGAGTGGCCTAGTGTGACTTGGGTTGCTACGCACATTCATACCTGTCTCAGGACAAATTACCTTCATCTCCCAGAAGAACTGGCACTGGCCAGGGTTATTGCTTTAATAACACACATGTCTAATGCTCCTGTTTACCAGCTAGCTAATCAGCACTCCAGAGGATACATGTGGTGTTTGCATTGTTACAAGGTAGACATCATTTTACAATTAACTTCATTACAACTAGAACACAATTCTTCAGCTTTCACCATGAGGCTTTAAGATAACTATATGTGCACGCAACTCTAGTTACTACTTATGTATATAAATGATGCACTCATAAGAACAGATAAATATTCTCACCCATACATATCCATGAAATTATTACCAGATATACATACAGGTTTGCTTTTTTTTTTTTTTTAATCAAAGGGGGATAGTCTTCTGTAGATACTATGCAAAATAAGATTTTCCACTTTTTTCTTACCCATACAATAAAATAAAAATCTTATTCACAAATTAGGCACTAAGGGACCACATTAAAGCAACTATAAATATAGGCTATCTGAATGCATTGAGTGGGTTTTGAATTGCTAACTTAGGAGAAAAATAATGTGTTTTATGTACAGGCTGTAATTTGAAAGTGCAAAAAGTATACATGATTCTATATTAAAGCAGGGTTTTTAAATTGTGCTTTATGTTTAAATGAAAGAAAAGCGTATCTTCAACAGATCTTGCACTTAAGCAATAATGGCATCTAATACTCTCTCCTTGTAGGCCTCGTAGTGCAGATTATTTTATGCAAGAAGCTAAACGGATGAAGCATAAAGCAGATGCGATGGTGAGACCCTTTTCTTTCCAGATTTGTTCATCCAAATTGTGTTTGTGCTGAAGCTTCATCACTGGGGCAATATAGCCGGGGTAATTATAAAATCTATTACAAGCATGGCTAGGCCTGCTAAATGGGAAAATGTTTATATAATCAAAGGCTCATAGCCCAATAAATTATGGCTTCACTCAGTAAGGCCCAACTGGAAGAAAGCCCTGGGTAAATGAATATTTCAATTCAGTCTTAAGGTTTGAATAGTAAACAGAGCCAGAGGAATCAGTGGGCGGAGCTATTGGAAAGAAATTGAATTTGCATTTTCCTCTCTGGCTAGTCTAGCTGGCTCTTCTTGGCTCAGTGCCACCACAAATCTCTTTTCAGGACAACTAGTTCCTGGTGTATATCTACCCAAAAAGAGTGCATCCCCTGAAGTGTTCAACATAGAAACGATCACCCGCACTCAAAACCTTAAAGTTGCCGTGACTTGATCTTTGCAAAGAATAACTTTTCTGATGTGTGTGACCTATTTATTTCAGGAAAGAAATAGGCTTTTGGTTTGTGTGCTTGCTTGTTTGCCTTTTAGATGACAAGGTAGTTCCTACCCTAAGGCCTCTTCCAGAATGATGTCTTTCTTCCTAGAAATTCTAGTTTTCTTCCCCTCCAGGGTTCATAACAAAGATCAGTCAGGGGGCTGGAGATAAAGGTGGCTTCTCAAATGCCTTGCAGAATATGATTCCAGAGAGGAAGATGTGTAAGTCCTAGCCGTTGCCTACCACACATTTATTATCCAAGTCAGCTTCCAGGGAACACTGGGAAATGTGGGAATAGCAGTGAATACCAGAAAACAGAGACGGTTGAATGGACAGCCCCTGCCCACGTAGCCGGACAATCCCTGCGGCTGGTGGAGTTTAGTCATCTGAAGGAACTGATGTGTGGAGCTCCCTCTCTCCAGCACTCTGTTTTCAAAAGAGAGAAAGGAAGGAAGGAAGGAAGGAAGGAAGGAAGGAAGGAAGGAAGGAAGGAAGGAAGGAAGAGCTGTATACACACTGTGTTTCATATCCATGTGTGTCTTTGATATACAGTTAAGCACAGAAATGCACTAACAGTAACCGGTAACTGATATTAATGTAGGGCAATTATAATAGAAAGCTGTGGTAATAAAATGTATACGTCCATGAGTTGTTTATTGCTGGAATTTTGCTCGCACCATTTTCAGACCCTACTGACCACAGGTACCCGCAATCATAGAAGATGAGCTGAGGATGGCAGGGAGGGCCTACATATCTATTTCTTTTTTCTCTCAGCTCCGTTGTAGGCAATTTTAGAGCTTGAAAGTTGGGTTTCTCAAAGCATATAAGCTATGTGGTGATGGCCCTTGTTTTTCTATTAAAAAAAAAAAAAAAAAAGCAAAGCTCCCTCTTATTAAGGAAGACGCCACTGATTCTGTTGGTCAGGTGGAGAAGTTTGGGAAAGCTTTGAACTATGCCGAAGCAGCCTTGTCCTTCATCGAGTGTGGGAATGCAATGGAGCAAGGCCCAATGGAATCCAAGTCTCCCTACACCATGTACTCGGAGACGGTGGAGCTCATCAGGTAAGGTCTGCCTCCAGCAGGGGGCGCAGTGAGGAGCCGGAAGGCTGTGTCCATAAGTACTTGAGCAATGCTAAGCAGAGAAAGGCAGCCTGCAGTGTCAGCCCCTGGGGACCAGTGTTTAGTCCCCAAAATAAGAACAGCTCTCACGTGGCGTGCGGCCCTCTTTTCTGTGTGAGACAGGGCATCTCCTGCTCAAAGCATCCTTGACTGTCCAAGGGACATGTCCCCATGTCCCCTCAGAAAATAGACGTTAAAACATACTGCCGCCAGCTATACTGTCATCAGATAAGAGCCACACATAGCAAGGACAGAGGTACGTTAAGCATCCACCTAAGTACAGGGGTGGACGTGGCCTCCATTCTCAGTGTCTCGGCGTAAGTTGAAATGTAGAAAAATGGACACTTTACCGCACTGGTGATGACCCTTGAGCTTGCAGCACTCCTGAGAGTTTGTCCCGAGCCATGAGAGAGCGGGAAGTGGCGCATCCTCATACGTGTCTTCTCCTTTTAGTCGCCACAGTACTGCCATCAGCTGGCTTTTAAGGCACTGGGAGCACCTACAAACTGGGGCTGGAGAGCTGGCCCGGTGGCTGACAACACCTGATGCTTGTGCAGAGGACCCACGTCCCAGGCCCAGAGCTCACAATAAATGGCTCACAACCGCTTGAGCTCCAGCGGACCCAACACCCGGTTCTGGCCTCTGTGGGCGTCCACACTGACACTTACCCACATGCACATACATTTTTTTATTTATTTATTTTACATAACCAAGTCCATTTAAATGAAAACATTTATAGACAATATTTGGGAATCGTTCTTTCCAAACTGCTTCCTCATGCACATACATTTTTTTAAAAGAAAAGAAAGAACATGTAAGCGTGGAGAGGAGAGAGGGGTTCCGCTGATAACCAGAGAGGGCTTTTTAATTTCTATTTTTTTTAAGGTACGCTATGAGACTAAAAACCCACTCAGGCCCCAACGCCACACCAGAGGACAAACAACTCGCCGCACTTTGGTAAGTGTAACCCCAGCCCTGTAAACAGGATGGCCAGCAGCTTTGCACTTCCCGTACCTCTAACCCACTGACCCCAAGCTGCTCCACCAGCCAAGAGGCCCAGTCTGCCCTTTACTGCACTACCCTGAATCCGCGGTGTCCAAAGGATCAGAGTGGGTGGGTGGTGTCACTAGCCAGTCAGAGCAACCAAAACCAGCAAGCTCCCTGTCCCAGAGAAAGAGGTGGCAAACAACAAACACTCATGTTGATCTCGGGCCACTACACATGCATGGAGAACACACTCATATCCACATATGCGCACACGCGTGCACACACACACATACACACAAGCAAAGCAAAACAGGTCCCGCCTCATTCATTTGAATGTGAATTGTATTAAATGGAATTATCCTGTGTTTTAACACTTCAGATGCAGTCAGAATCATTGACGAGTTACTTTGCATGCCAAATCGTATGAATAGATACGATCCATTAGAGTTACCAATACATTGAGCTGAGGGCCGCTAGCTCGCTATACTTAGATAATAAAATCATTTCTTTCATACTGGCTAAAGGGTAATCGATCTCCCTATGCTTAGGATTACAGTAACAAGTACTGCGCGGTGGCAACTCCCCACGGCATCTTTTCTGAAGGCCCCCTCCCGTTCCTCTCTGCAAGGCCCTCTCTGGCTCTCTCCTGTGTTTTGCTCCCTGTGGGCTTCATGGAGCTCAAGATCTAATCTGAGAGATAGAAAATCAAATGGAATCCCAGGCGGGGTAGCAGCCGCATAGACACAGGAGGGTCCCGCGCTGTTTGACATAATTTCGTGTGGAGTTTGGAGTGCTACGAGCTAGATCGAGTTGTGCTGGGCGTGTTACGACTCCAGCACCTCAAAACCTGGCCTCAGCTGGGGAAGAGTTACGAGTCAGAAGCACCCGGGGAAGAGAGAATCAGTCTCAGAAAATGCTAAACATACCCTTTTCTTTACTGGGGTACCATAATGGGATTAATAAATTGACGGTGGTTAATAATTAATGTTGGGATGTATGAGTGACATAAACAATTATACAAGACATTGTAGGAAATAAGCAAACATAACTCGCCCCCGATTAGTACTCTGTTGTTTGTAGTGCACTTTATTTGAACTCATTACGGCCCAGTAAAGTGTTAACAAGCAGAGGTAATAGAAATCTGTGAAATTGCTGTCCAGTCTGCAAAGCCAATAATAGCTCACCCAGTAAAGCAGGCTGCATGCTGGCTGTCCCTCAGCCTCTCGTGGGGAGAGACTGCTCTCTAGTGGTGGGAGGAGAAAGCAGCCTGACCCTGTTCCCAACAAAGAGCTGTCAAAGCTGTTGTTACACATCATCTGGTGGTAAATGCATGTATGGAGTGCCTCCTTGGAAGTTTGAATTATTGTTTTGTTTTTTTTTTAACAAGAGAAGCGTCAGATAATCACGCAAATACTTGATATGGGAACATTTTGGATGTATAAGTGTGATGGAAATATTGAGTTGGAAACAACAGAATTTGTTCTGAAGCTTCAGTGTGATGGACGACTCTTTACCCTCTCTTCCTCTGCAGTTACCGATGCCTGGCTCTCCTATACTGGCGGATGTTTCGACTCAAAAGGGACCACGCTGTAAAGTATTCGAAAGCACTTATCGACTATTTCAAGGTACTGTCTAGCAAACAAGCAGCATGTCTTCTCGTGGTGAGCTGTCTCCCTGACAGCTTTCCCTGAGAGGCCTCATCCAGCCCATTGCGCTGAGGCTAAACCTGTCATCTCCGTTCCCCAGAATCACCCTTTTATGACACACTGTGGCTTGTAGGACTCAGAGGGAGACTTGGTCTTGAGAGCCCAGCTAATATGTCTGCCTGCCTTCATGTCCTTGTTTTTACGGCCTGTAAACAAAGAATGCCCGATTATTCGCCCTCAGTGACCTGGGGATTGGTCTTTAGAACAGATATAATTCCTTATGGCCATGTAGAATTCTTGGAAGTAACTACTTAGACCCAGTCCGCCTAGTTAGTCTCTAGCAGCTGATTTAATCTTTGATGTCAATGTTATTTGTAAAGATAGGAAAAGGCTTGTTACAGCTCCGAGACCCTTGATAGCAATGTGTGATGAGAGGGATTGAATTGCAACCATGGCAACTTTTTATCTCAGAGAATTAAATTCTTTTCACTAGAAGAATACATAACAAACAGAAGAGAAACACCTTTTTGATGTAGCGTTGCAAAGTGACCCTGAAGTTAATCTCTCATTCAGAGTTTCTGGGCCTCTCTCTGTCTGAAATGACACCACCACAGTCTCCACCAGCCCCTTACCATACACAAGGACACAGCCGTCATTTTCAACCCGTTCTTGTCAACCTGCACACCCTAGCGACCAGTCAGATGGCCAGGCCATGCTGGAGAATCCCTGGGCTTTGTCCAGTGCAAGGCCAGCTTCCTAGTTGTGCATACCAAATGACTTCTGCTGAGTCCCCGTGAGCAGTGACTGAGTGAGACAAATACCAGGCATGGTGGGCTTGCCCGTGATCCCAGCACTCAGGGGGCAGAAGTCCCAAGCCAGTCACATCTGTGTACAGTGAGGCCTGTCTCAGACAAACATACTCAAGTGGGGTAGTGATTTTCAGGAACTCAGAGTCTAAGAGGCGAATTATTACAGCAAAGTCAAAACACAATGCTTGAATAAAGAAGAAAACTGAATTCCTGGGAATTCTGACAAACTTTTAAGGAGATTGAAAATAGTTTTTAATGTTTATATCCAGTCCAAAAGTATGAACAAAATGGGTAAGAGAACAAGAAATCATACTGTCCTCTAGGAGCTATTGGCTTTGCTTTCCATCAATTCTATATTTTGCAGTATGCTGTAAGTGGCAGATTGTATTAATAATAGCGTACGATGTGATGCTTTGAAAGGAGCGGGGATACCCTAGCCTGGCATTCTTGTTCCAGCCCTCTCTGTGAGACAGATGGAAATGGCAGTCTTCGCTTGCTGAGAGCCCGAAAGGCCATCCTGGCAGCCTCTGCACTGACACTGGACAGCCAGTCACTTCCTGAAAGCTCCTTCTGCCAGCAGCTCCTGTGTTTGTTAGGAGCTGCTGAGTGTGGTTGCTCAGAGACTGTCCCTTCCCCTCATAGCCATGTAGACGATAGGAGCGAGATGTGGCTCTCAGACAGGAACCCCGGCTGCACTTGGTGACGTCCCTTGCTTAACAGAAGTCTTTCTGAACATTTTTGCTGGGCTGGCATGCTGCCTCAGTGAATAAAGGCTCTCAGCACCAAGCCTGGCTGGTGATTTGGGTTCCGTCCCCAGGACCCACAAGTAGGCGTGAACTGACTGACTCCTACAAGTTGTCTTCTAACATCTACATGCCGTGGTATGCTCATACACATACACACACATTCAGACAGACAGACATGCAGAATATTAAAAACTGTTATTTCATTTGTTTTTATTCACTTATTTATTGCCAGTTTGTTTCTGGGTTTTTTGTGATGCCTGGGATTAAACCCAGGAGCTCCTATACCAGTCAAGTACTGTATGACTGAGACACACCCCGATCAGGAAAACACGTAAATGCCTGCTGCAGGTGCCTAGCCTGTGAACTATAACAACCTAAATCGGGCTACCTAAGTATTCCGAGGGCTAGTGATGGAGCTGAATGGTAGAGTGCCTCCTTGTAACACTTGGGTTCAGTACCCAGTACCACCAAAAAAAAAAAAAGTAAAACCTGTGTGTCATAATGAAATCTCTTGGTTCTATTAATTGTGTTAACATTTATGCTAATAATAAGATATCAATAAATGTCAGAATTTTTAAATTTTTCTGTTAGGAAATAATCTGAAACTATCACTTGAATAGTATTCTCTTATTCCTTTAAGAGGAATAATTTGTTATTGTTGTGTTTGAGATGGAGTCTCTCTGTGTTGCTCTGCCCGTCCTAGAATTTGGTCTGTAGACCAGGCTAGCCTCAAACTGAGAGATCTGCCTGCCTCCCGTGTGCAAGGATTAAAGCTGTGTGTTACCACACCCAGCATTAAGAGGGATAATTTTAAAGTTCATAATTTAAAACAGTAGGGTTTCATGACATACTTTCCTCGAAAGTCTCTGTAAATAATCCCTAGATTTAGATATAAGATTAGATATAAGGCATTTTTATCATGCTATGAGCAAGGGTTCCCACTCTTTCCAGAAGATTTAGACTACTCTCCAATGAAAACTCTAAATAGTTATGGATAACTTGGTGCCTAAAATTTGTTTGTAAAAACCTCCACTGGGTAAGGCACGTGTGTACAGGTGTGCTCACACACGTGTGCACACTCATTCATACACACTGGCTTCCTCCGAGGGAAGAATAGCCTTGTGATTGTAGCGCCCCCCCCCCTCCACCCTCCAAGCTGATTTCTGTGATTCCGCACTGACCTACCGATTATCACGGTCACGTTAAAAGTTGCTGCTGTTCCCTGGTTAGCCTCAGCCAGTGGTACTCACCGTCCACATTTTTATTTCCTTGCAGAATTCATCGAAAGCTGCCCAAGCCCCATCCCCATGGGGGTCCAGTGGCAAGTAAGTTCACCTTTCCCAAACGCAATACGCCACGCATTGCATGATGGCACGGCTCTGAGTGGGCTGCCCGGCTCGCCTGCTCCCAACCTCTCCTCTCTGGCTTTTCTACCTCTCTCCTTCCAGGAGCACTGGAAGCCTATCCCCCATCTCTCCCAACCCTTCTCCCCCCAGCTCCGTGGGGTCTCAGGGCAGCCTCTCCAGCTCCAGTGCCCTGTCCCCGTCAACCATCGTCAGCATCCCCCAGCGAATTCACCAGATGGCAGCCAATCACGTCAGCATCACCAACAGCATCCTCCACAGCTATGACTACTGGGAGATGGCCGACGACCTGGCCAAGGAGAACAGAGGTATGTGCATCCCGTGGGGAGTGGGGACCCGCTGGCACCTGCTGCATGGACCTGCTCTTACCCTCACTGTGGAAGCAATTAAATGAGATACACACAGATGCAGGGGAAATTCAGACGTGAATGGATGTCGATACACACACACACACGGCATTTCCCAGCTTACAGAGGGCTCCTTCCTTGCACACAGAATCTATTTCCTTGTGACTCATGCCCCCAAGACCTAGCCTAGTTCCTAGAACTCGGCTGGGGTTCCAAAAATATCAAATATATGAAATGAATGAATGTGAATATTACCAGCTTTTTTTTTCTGTCTGGGCTGCTAGCCGGGCTTGGTGGTACTCCAGAAATTGAGGCAAGAAGATTGCCAAATCCAAGTTCCAAGCTAGCCTGGGCTACATAAATAAGACCTTGTCTCAAAAAAAAAAGTGTTACTTGCTTAGAAGAGATTATCTTACATGTAGTATCGAATTAACACTTGTTTTGCTAATGGTAGAAATAACAGGGGCCAACAAGGGGGCTCAGTGGATACAAGCCCGACAGCCTGAGTTCAGTCCCTGGAACCCACAGTAGAAGGAGAAAACCAGGTCCCCAAAGTTGACCTCTGTGTTCCACACATTTGCATAAGCATTTCCTCCCTTTCTCATGCATTCTCTCCACACACACACACACACACACACACACACACACACAGACACACACACACACAGACACACACACACACAGACACACACACACACACAGACACACACACACACAGACACACACACACACACACACACACACACACACACACAGACACACACAGACACACACACACACAGACACACACACACAGACACACACACACAGACACACACACACAGACACACACACACACAGACACACACACACAGACACACACACACACACACACACAGACACACACACACAGACACACACACACACAGACACACACACACGCACGCACACACACACAGACACACACGCACGCACACACACACACACACACACACACACGAAAACTTTAACATAGTAATGAGTGCTTTCTGTGGCTCAATACAGAGGGAAAGGTTTTCAGGTAGCCAATCACAATTATATATGATAACTGTTTTGATACCGCGCTTACAGAATCATGAAGTTGCCTGATTTCTCAATCCATCCCTCTGGTGTCAGACATTTAAGTTATTTCTAGTTCTTTTTCTACCTGTGACAAATAATGTTTCAGTAAATCATTGTTTTCTGTGTGTGTGTGTGTGTGTGTGTGTGTGTGTGTGTGTGTGTGTGTGTGTGGTTTTTCAAGTCAGGGTTTCTGCCAAGCCTTCTGTCTCCAAGGTGCTGGGATTAAAGGTATGCACCACCACTACCTGGCTCTTATTGCATACTTAAGAGAGAGTTATGGAAGTTAAATTTTGGGTGTCGGTGAATAAAGATCCTTTTTGTCATTTTTATTTTGGTTTGGTTTTTGAGACAGAGTCTCGCTCTATAGCGTACGCTAGCCGGAACCTCACTAGGTAGGCAAAGCTGACTTTGAGCTCACCGTGTAGCCCAGGTTGGCCACAAACTCATGATGAACCTCTTGCCTCAGCCTTTGGAGTGATCACAGGCATGAGCCACCACACCCCACTGTATCTTAATAGATGAAAAGTTGAACGATTCGCTCCTCTCCCCCCAGCAACAGGTGAGAATGCCAGTCAAGCTCATTTTCTGACAAGACTCTAGTTAGAGCCAGATGATAGCATGGATGACCCCCGAGTACTGGGGGGTGGCTGATGTGAGGTCCAAGGCAGTATGCCTCGAGAGCCCAGTGGGCAGGATAGGAGGCTTTGATGGCAGGCTTTGGGCCCCCAGGAGGAGCTCTCCAGAGGAGCTGGTGTGGAAGAGGGTTTTGAAAAGGACGTAGTTCAACGGCTGAAGTAGACCAAGGTGGGTATCACAGGTGGGTTAAGCAAAGCAGGCAAATGTAGAAAGATAATCTCCCCAGTCTGAGAGACCATGAGCGAGCACCGGCCACCGCCCGCTAGGTGCCTCCTTCCAGAGGTCTCAATGACATGTCTAGGGTACAAAGTTGGTTCTTCCTGTTCACCCACCATAGCTCCTTCAGTGTTGAGTCTTTCCTGAACCTTCCCTTCCTCCTTTCTTAGGAGGACACCGCTTAGTGTGTGTGTGTGTGTGTGTGTGTGTGTGTGTGTGTGTGTGCGCGTGCGTGCGCGTGTGTGGGTATATGTATATATATGTGTGTGTGTGTCTACACACACACACCTTTGAAACGTTGTCTCGGACTTCATTCAGCCACGCACCTGTGGCAACAGAGCAGCTGTGAGGTCTGGCTTGTCCTCCCCGCACCCACCCACTTTCCCAGGAAGTACCCAGGTACAAAGTAAAGGAGACAGCAAACGCAGAGCCTATCCCAAGCTAGAAGGTGACTTCAGCAGAGGTGACCGCTTGGGCGGGATTTGCCAGCTGTCCTAGAGCCCCGCTCCCTGGACCCCTTCAGGGGACACCCATGACAGGCGACAATGGAATCATGGAGAGCTGAGTCACACTGACACCCTGCGAAAAGCATTTTCCTACCAGGAGGAAGTAGCTGGAACGCACAGACATAAATGTGGCAGAATAACAGCCGAATGTTTGGATGTAGGGTTTTACTCTGTCCCAGGGAAATGCCAAGCCACATAGACAATGGAGAATGGTTGAGAGTGGATTCTTTCTGAAGTCGTCCGGGCCTTGACACCCCCCCCCCATGTCTCTCTGTCTCCTAGAGTTCTTCAATGACCTGGATCTGCTCATGGGACCTGTCACCTTGCACAGCACCATGGAACACCTGGTCCAGTATTCCCAGCAAGGCCTGCACTGGCTTCGGAGCAGCGCACACCTGTCCTAGGGACCTTGCCCTCGAGCCAGACCGCATTTTTCCTCTCCTTGGTGGCCCAGTGTTCTTCTGGACTCTGTGTTGCTGACATTCCTAGCCCACAGCTTCTCCCAAACTGTGGTGAACATTTCCTCAGACTCCAACAGTGATCTTTTTCTGGGGCGTGTGTGTTTAGGTGTGGGTTCGTACGAAGCTTTCTGTGTGTGTGTGTGTGTGTGTGTGTGTGTGTAAGATCAACAGCTCTTCGAAACACAGTTTCTTTGTCTGGTTCCTATAATCCCAAGCTAGACAACTGATTAGAGATTCCTCACTGGAGGAAATCCACGCAGCACAGGCGTGTCCACACTCCCACAGACACATCCCACCCCCCACCCCACCCCCAGTGCTAAGCCATTGCCTTCTTAGAAAGTTCCACCAAAATCTCATGTGTTGCTGAACCTGGTGTGATCCAGCACGCAAAAAGCATAACTGCCGGATGCATTGAACCTAGCTCTTATATTATTGATTACTTTCAGTATTACATACAAGTCCCCAATTGCTTTCGGTTGTTGTATATTAATGAGCAATTGAATAATGGAAACAAGTCAGTTATTTTTGTGCCGGAAGTTCGCTAGATTGCATGTAACCACACTGCCTTGCCCGTCCTCTCTCTCATACCCTCGCCCAGCCCTCATCACCTACTGAACGGAACACATTATAAGCCGCCAACGTCCCTTGCCTCGTCCCCACCTAGTGTGCAGATGGCCCCAGGATTCAGCGAAAGCTCAACAACCACAAAAGCAACGGTGACCATTTTGGTTTGGAAATCCAGTCCACCCCTGTGGCAGTAAACCCTCCAGGCACACGGGTTTCCTCTTCCTGCCACTGTGAGTCTGTGGCCCTAGAGCCACCTGGCTGTTGTCAGCCAACACATTGCAAGTCTTTTCTTTCTGCAATAGCTTCCTTGCAGCTTGTCTTGCCCAAATGAAGACACTGTCTAGAACATGCCATCCCTGGGTCTGGCCGTCGCTGTCGAGTCTGGGAGCCGGTCACTGCTGGGGTGTCTGCACGCACAGTGTGGGCTGTGAGTGCATTTTGGTTTGGGGATATTTCTCAAGCTTTCCTTAAGCTCCTCACACTGCAAGGGAAGTTACCCCTTTGACGACCATAACTCTGTCTGGAGTAGCAATGACCGGAGTGTCTTACATATAGCTTGAGCATCCGGTGTGTTTATGACTTGACCATAGTTCTTTTCTGGATTGTTTTTGGTTTGAGTTTTGTTTTGGTTTTGGTTTTTGCTTTTTTGACTTTATGTTTTAGTTTTTCAGCATCTTGTTTACAGTTTTTGTCTGTTTTTTTTTTCTTCTCATATTCTGTCATACCCTAGAGACTTAGTCTTCTTGTTAAGTATATGTGGATCTGAAATATTAGTATAAAGAAACAAGTCCTACAAACGAGATGCATCTTGCCACACTTTAAATACAAACTAATGTCCTCGAGTAATTGTCACCAGTGTGCCATGTCAGCCAGAGGAGGATAGGTAAGACCACCTCTGCAGTCCAATGTTGAAGGTGGCAGGGTCCTAGAGCATGTGTCCTGTGTTTCCACGGTCTCCCCGCGAGCTTGGTTATGTTCGTATTGGCATTTTGTCAGCCTTCTCAGTCGGCAGCAAATAAGACTGCTCTCATTCCCCAGATCGTAGTGCAGATTCAGAACAGCTGACCATGGTTTGGCGATCCATACCAGACTGAAATTTGTGGGATTTGCGTTCGGCTTTGACCCTCAGACTCTTGAAATTTTCAGCAGTACGTTGACTTCAGATGTTTTGGACCAGAAATTTTTTTTTTTAAGATATTGAATATTTGTGAATACATAATTAGGGGAAGAGGACTCAAGTCTAAATATGAAAATCATTTACATTTCATATATACCTTGTATACATGAAAGTAATGTCTGCAGTATCGATTGTAAGCCATCCCATGAGGTCAGGTATGGGATTCATCCCTCAACGTCATGTCACTGCTCAAGAAGTTTTAGATTTTGGGGCAGGTTATGTTTCAGAGCCTTGAGATGAGAGCACCCCACCCGATCTCCACGTTTATATTTATCCACACCGCGTGCTCCTTGTGTCCCCTTTCACTTAACTGTCGGCAGGTTTGTGATCCTATCCTATGTTCCAAGTCTGAATATAAGAGATTTTCAATCACCTTTTGTGCAGGAGTGAGACTTTGTTCTGGTTGCTGTCGGTGAATTCTGGTGTAAAGTTCAAATTCTCACATAGAGGAGGAATACCCTCAGGGCCTCTCTGCAACCTTGGGGAGCTTTTCTGGTCCCAACTCCCTTAGTTGTAGCACCCCTGGATCCACATCCCTGGAAAAGCCCCATCAGATTGCAAAGGTGGCCTATGGCTCGTTGCCACAGCACAGGTTTGATGAACACACTGGGGCCTGTTTCCTGACAGAACTTGTGGAAACTGGTCTCCTGGAGATGTAGTCAGGGCATCCAGGTCCTGTCCGTGTCTCGCCTCATCCATGGAGCATGTGTCAGGCCCAGTGTAGGTAATTTTAGGAAGAAACCATCTTCCACTTGATGGGATTCAATGTTGACAGTTCTGGTAAGGAACCGTCTTCAGCTTGATGCCATGGAAGTCCTCCATAGCATGTTCCTTTCCTTAGGCTGGATTGCAGGTTGAAGCATCTTTCTTATGTTTTATGGCTATAAAAGTCCTACATGTTCATTATAGGAATTCAAATAATGCTGAAATGTAGAAGATGTAAGTTGCCTCACCTGCCCCAAGATGACCACAGTTTGGTGATCTGTATCCTTCCAGAAGTTTTTCCTTTTAAACATGAAATGTATTACCACTTGTGTCCATCTGAAGACATCCCACCAAAGACCAACTGGTCTTATGTCCTGTGACCTGAGTAGATGCCACCCTTTGTCACATGTTAGAATTACCTTTGAAAGGGAGTATATAAGTATTCCTGCACAGACTTCTGCATTAGTTAGCACTCTGCACAGACGAATGTCCTCTGCAAATGTGCTAGAGAGAGGTTTGCTTCTGGAAACATCCAAATTGCAAATGGAAACTTGAACCCACTCTAAAGAGGAGTGTCCTGAAAATATACGCTAAACAGTTGACAAACCATGCTCTAGACTGAACACGTGGAATGCAATGCAATGAGACATTGTGCACTGGAATGTTTAGCAGTGGTGTTTGTGCTGATGTCAGTTATGTACGTCTCTGACGCCCATACAAAATAGACACAGTTTGTATAAATGCATACATTTGAAAATACATATGTACAGTACAGCTAACACAAAACCGTAGTGCGCCTGACATATTACTAGTGCCTAATACCGAGTATAAGTCACTGCGTGTCCACGTCACCTTGGAAGTGCAGTCATTGTTATAAAATTAATCAATGCAGCGACATTATTTATGAATCACATCTTTGAAACTGTGCAGTAGCATACGCATATATATTTTTAAACGACATTTTTCACAGTTTTCCAGAGTTACTGTTGAAATCTGTATCGCCAAAAAGAGAGAGAGAATGCAAGGTGTTTTATTATTATTATTATTATTATTTTTATTTTTAATGATGTAGACACTCCAGACACAGTGATCTGCGTGTGGTTTCCTATTTGTAGATAACCAAGAGACGTTAGCAGTCACCAGCCTTAATGCATGTACAGGATACTATTGTGACTTAATTTATCTGCAGTTTTTAATCCATTACAAAATTGGAATTTATAAACAGACTTGGATTGAGTATGTCTGCCTTTCTAAGGTTGCAAACGATACATTAAATGATTTATGTTGTACGTGAGACAAATCGAGTTGTACGTTAAAAAAAAAAAAGTTCACCAGTTCTCTTAATATTTTACAAGGAAACTTTAGAATTGAAATATTTTCAAAGCAATATTCTGGCTCCCAGCTTGGAACTGATTTAGAAGCAATCTTTTCTCATGAATCTCTTTTTGTCTGTCTTTCCTTTCTTTCTCTCTCTACGTTACTTTTTTCTTTCTCTTATTTATTTGTTCCTTTCTTTACCTCCTTCTATTCTAGGCATTAAACTTAGAGCCTTACTCATGCTGCACAAGCTCTAGACCACTGAACTGCACTCACTGATACTTTTAATGGGTTATCATTGCTAAGTCTGATTTTTTTTTTTTCCCAATAGAACTGTAGTTTCCTACTTCTGCTTTCCATACCCAAGTGTGTCCATCCTCCCTTCCTCTCTCCCTCCCTGCCTCACACACATTTTTTTAAGACTGCTGATGAGGAAACCAGGTTCCTGTCGGTGACTACATGGATGGGCACCTACTCAACTAACATCCCCAAAACTCTGCTCTAATCAACATTCTTTAACGGCACAAGTCAACTCTGACTGTGCCAGGCTTTTCCAACTTGAACAACATGGTAGGATCATGTTTGCAATATTTGCTTGAGAAAATGAGAGAACTCTGGATTGAAGAGCTGAAATACTGGAGCAGGACATGACCTAGTGTACCTGTGTAGTTGAAGACCTGTCAACCTTTTCACACTTTATCTTCCTCCCTCTTCCTTCTCCTCCTCCCGCCCCACCCCCCAAGCTGAAGAAGCAGAAACAACAGAGACAAAACGCCCTGCTGGCCGGATGGCAGCCCATACCCTCAGGTTCACACACCTTCCCCACTTCCCATCTGACATAATGCACCCAGCCCAGAGAGACGGACAAGGCTGGGCCACTCAGTTCAACCCTCATCAGCCAACCAGAGATGGACAACCAAGGGGCACACCAAAAGTGGCTCGGACCGGGGACTTGTCTTTAGTAGGTTCCAAAGAGAGCAATACTCTTTCAGAGGTGGGCTCAGAACAACTGCAACCTTCCAAGCAAGAACTAACTGCCTTCCAGTCAAATAACTTACACCAGCAGAGTCTATTCCTATCAGAATCCTGTTTTAAAGTATGCCTAATTTTCAGCCACGCCTAGGCCAGCTGGAATCTTGAAAGAGTGGGGAGGGGAAGCAGCCACATAAACTGTACTTTGGAGTCAGCGACTTTTCCCTCAGTTTCCCATTCCCAGGAGGACAGACACACCCTAACCAACAAACACGGAATGTTCCAATCCGACAGCTCTGTTCGCTTGGTCCAAACCGTGTGCCTCTGTCTTGGGAATGGTTAACTTATTTGCTCTGTATGAGGCACATTATAAAACCCTATTCTCAAACTAATTACATCTGACCACGGTTTCGCTTTTATTATTTAATTGGCACTTTCTACACCAAGGGGTAAATTTGGGGTCAGCTGCAGAGGGGTTTGCAGTCACAGCTCTTGGCAGTAATGGGAATCAAGGGACTAAACCTCTGTGTATTATTTGGGAGATTCATCTCTTAGAGCCAGTTTGAAAAACAGTGATCTGAAGGATGAGGTGTTAATCCCAAATAAAAAAGAGAATTAAGCATCCAAGATATGGATGGGGTCCACAGAGTTTCTGAAGTATTGATGAGGTCTGGAAAGCTGAATCAAGCTCTTGTTTCCTGCTTGCTTTCAAAATAGGAAAGCTCGTGGTACCCGGACAAGATGGGAAATATCTTCCATGCTTGGGGCTTTCAAACCATGCTATTGTTGATTGAAATCACTGACATTCTACTTCCTTTCAGTTTTTCAGAAAACTAGACTTTTCACCAGGATTTATGAACTCTTTATTTCAAGATAAGCACAGAGAAAACCCTCAACATAGGAATATCTGTGACTGAATGGAATGGCATCCCATCCACAGTAGCCAAAGGTACTCAAGGTATGACTTAATGGTCTTTGAGCCTCTTCTGGTACCTTTGCCTGAGCATGAGTACCACAAATATGGCTGTGCAGTTGAGAGGTCAGTGATTGTAAACACAGATCTGATGCTGTTCACACACACACACACACACACACACACCCCTCTCTGAGTCATTACTGAGTCCCTTCCTAGTGGTGACTTGGAGTGATTTCAAGCTGATTCCCCAGAGTTCCAGGGTTTCCAAATCAATTCCAACCCCCCCCCACCCCCCACCCCGCACTTGAGAACTGGATTGGTTTTGTTGTTATTCTTGAGGTGCAAATTCTGTACGTCACATTTAGTATGTTGTCTCTTCAGTAGAACAATTCCAAGAGACAGTGAGGTTTAAAGAAACAAAACTGATGGGAGAGGGGAGGAGGGAAGGGGAAGGGGGGAAATGTATAGCTCAATAATTTTTTTTTTTTAATGCAAAGCAGGAAGTCACAGTTCTGGGGACCACAGAAGAGCAGTAACTGGGTGCCCACACACTTTCCTCAGGGTCACCTAACCCTTAAAGAAAGCTGCGCTTTGTCTCCCTGGCCTCTGTTAAGTGTGTCTGAACATATCGATTACCCCACTCCGCATGAAGATCAGTAGACTGGGACACATGTTCTCTGTTGTCACTCATCTGGGTTCAAGCACCACCACGTACCAGCAATGGTGACATGTCCCAGTAATCCCAGCACTTGAAAGGCAAGAGAATTGTGAGTTCAAGGTCATCGGTGGACCTTAGATGCATAGCAAAAGCACTGTTGTAGGACAGACAAAGGGAATAAATACGCTGTAGGCATCCGATGTGTGATATGGGACACGCAGCGTTACCGTGGGATCTAGAGCTGACAGTGCGTGGCCTCAATCCAATGATAGGACAGCAAGGACACCCAGGGGAGATTGCCAGGGATCTTGTGTGTCATCAGGATTGGGATCCTTCCTGGGGGCAGGCAGGGTTCTGTCACAACCGAATCCCCACCCTCTCCACCACCCAGCTCTGGCCTGAGAGGTCAGTGGTATCCAGTTGGGAAGGGAAGGAAACAACTTTGGGTTCAGGAGCTGACATCTGCCATGAAAAGCCACTGTAGCCATTCACTAAGGTTCAAGAACTGTGACGGAGCTGGCGGTCCACAGCCTCCTGTCTCATTCCGTGTGCTCTGGGCCTTCACCCCTGGAGACGGCGGGATTGAGTTCTCTTTGTGGGGTTGGGGGGTGGACAGCTGTTCTGGGAAGTTTGTCCCCCCAGAAAGAAGATCTGTCCTAAGAGACTCAGAAAGAAGAGCCCTCTCAAGGGAAAGGGCATGGTTTTCTCTAGTGGGCTAAGCGGCGGCTCAGCATAATCACTTAATTGCAGGTGAAATTTGAGTCACAGCTGGGAAAGAGAGTTGTCAACAAACAGGGGCACTCAATGCTTTTTGTAACACCCAACTAGACCCCAAACATTCTGACTCTAGAATCTAGACATCAGGTACAGATCCGACTGATACTTTCAAGTATCCCTTGGGAAACTCAGCACGGGAAACTCAGCTGTTTCCCTTATTATGGAGTTGCCTGTTTACCTTGGAGAAAGAAACCATTTATTCATGCTATTCCTGGAACCGATAACTCAGACTCAATATTCCAAAGACAAAGGACCACACCGTCAGGCCAACAACCATCTCCAGTGCTTACATCCCACCAGACTTGGCCAGTGATCCAGCTTTAATAATCACAAAAGCAAGTTAGTTACAGGGCCCCCATCTGCGCCTCCCATGGGGACCAGCCTGAAGGTGGCTTAAGGGATTGAAGAGAATTTTAAACAGGTCAATTCTGCACGGCAATGAGACTTGTGAAATGTTATGTTCATACAGTCCAATATCACTGTATTCTGTCCAGCTGCTCTAAATTAAAACAGCTCAAATTCGTCTGTGCTATGTGGCGTTCATCTGGACTGCTTGTTCCCGTGTTTGGGTATTGTTACAGAATCCAGAATCTGTGGTGGCTCAGGCACTACTGAGGGAGCTGTGTGCAGTTTCCTGTGTCTGAGCGTGTGACAAGAATCCTAACCCAAGAAATTAATAAAGGCTAGTGGCTTTAATAAGGAGCACTTTCTGCCCCAGGCCTGTGAGTGTTTTTCCCAAGGGCATTGCAGTGGGTCCCGAGTAAGCAGTACAAGCCTGTAAGGGGCCTCATTTCCCAGGCCGCTTCGAAGGTGCCCACATGCCTGGGGCCTAATGTCTTCATTTGCTCACAGTAGCACACAACAGCAGAATGTTAAACCCCCTTTTTTATTTCTCCTCTCAAAGAATAAAAGTTGCTCCCATACAGCGGAAGCAATGCCCTTCCAAATCAGGAGAGACTCCATAGCGAATGGAGGAGAAGCAAATACTAAGACTCTCCCTTTGTCTGAGGCCAAAATTCCCAGATACAAAGATGATGGAAGCATCAACCAGACTTGTTACTGTTTTGAACCACATAGATTACCGCTCGTATAATTCACAAGACACCCAAACAGCCTTAAGGATTTGTTAAAAGAAGTTTTTCTATTTAGAGGCAAATAGGAACTCATCATCAAAGTGACATTTTTTTTTAATGTCTCAATAAACCATGAAGTTGGCATTCTGACTCAAATATGTTCTAGTGTCCCGAACTTCTTTCAAGCAGGATGTTTGTTCTCGTGTGGCATAGCAGGGTTTTGGTTTGGTTTTTTTGTTTGTTTTGTTTGTTTTTGCTTGCTTTTATTTTAATATAATCAATCAGCCAAATAAATTACCTCCTAACCAGAAAGAAGTATGTGCCCATGTAAGCTTCAGGGGATGCCTGGCTTTGAAAGGAACACATACCAGTCTGGGAATGTTTTCGGAAACAGTGTCACTTCAGATTGAAGGTGAAGCACCCTCTGGAGCACCTGGGGCATTCTCGCTAAGAGATGTCTTGTTTCTTCGCATGTCAAAGCTTTGCTTGCACAAGGCAGTACTGAAGTGTAAACCGTTACTATTCCACAGTGCAAACACTAGACAAACATTTAAAATGTGCAGCGTGGGGGCTAGA